CATCTAGTCCAACCCCCTGCTCATGCAGGAGATCTGTACTAGGGATTCGAACCACCGAACTGCCAACCTTTCTGATCAACAAGCTCCCAACCTTCCATACAGATTAGACTACAATTTCCATATTGGGGTTTGTGGTCCAATATATCATGAAGAAACTAAGAAAGCTGCCTTGAAGGATTGATCTACTATAGACTAGGAGGGTTGAGGTACCCAATCAGAATGGAGAAGATTTGAGACAGACAGAGACATAATGTCAGAAAGTTAAGGTACCCTTTGGTTGAGATCAGTGGTGGGTTTCAAAAAATTTTACTACTGGTTCTGTGAGTGTGGCTTGGTGGGCGTGGCAGGGGATGGTTACTGCAAAATCTCCATTTCCTCCCAATCAGCTGGGACTCGGGAGGCAGAAAATAGATGGGGGCAGGGCCAGTCAGAGTTGGTATTTCCCGGTTCTCCGAACTACTCAAAATTTCCACAACCGGTTCTCCAGAACTGGTCAGAACCTGCTGAATATCACCTCTGGTTGAGATGATGAATTGGGTGTTGGGTAGCCAAAATTCTAGTCTTCTCTTAAACAGGGAAGTCAAATGCTGAAGAACAAAAGCCTTCATCAATCATCCTTCAATGGCTTCTCCATGTGAATTACACCAGGTCCTTACATCAAATGGGGCGATTGCTTTAAAAATAAAATAGATTTATCCAAATAGATTTATTTACAGTATTATATGGTGGTTTTTACTCTTTTCTTGCAAATCTTCAGAACCTCCACGTTAAACAATGCCTGTGCTTGGTAATGATCCTGGGTTCAAACTACAGCTTTGTTAGTGGTAATGTTTAACTTCACTTCTAATTCATGGCAGTTCTGATTGTAATTGGCCAGAATTAACTTTCGGGTGCATTGTAAGGTTACAGTACCTAAACTGCAAAGACTCAGCTGTCCCTTAGATGGCAGCAAAACTCAGCTGCTCAGATCAGATGGCCTTGGAGTAAAAAATGGCAGTGAAAACTCATCAGTATAATAAAGAGATCTTTGCTCCCAGAGCTTTTCCATTAGAAAAATTGGAAATGGGAGGAGGGGAAGGGAGATTTAAGGAGGTATAATTCACTAGGTGGCAGTGTTTAACTCATGTTCCTAAAAGCCATACTTCACGCATTTCCTGGACTGCTGAGGTTATCCTAGGCTAGCCTAGCACAATTAAGAATTATATGGGGAGGAGGCTGTATCTTATAAAAAGGTTTGCCCAGGAGCTAATGAGGAGGATAAAACTGTCTTTAGAGTTTCTACTGTTGTCAAAAATGTGCCAAGGTCCAAAAGTTAAGCCATCTTTTAAAAAATACTAAAATACTATCATGGAAAAGAGTTAACTAGAAAGATTTTCAGTTAATTTTCCAACTAACTTTTTTGTTTCAGTGAAAGTATTCCACTTACATTCCTAAGATTATAACTTATTTTTTAAAAGTTGCACTACTGGTTTCACTGCTCAGTAATTTGAAAGTGGTCTCATAAATATGACAGGCATCCAAGTACCAGTTACAAGTGCTGGCGCCAGAAATATCACCTACCCTTCCACATAAGTGCTTCTCCCACTCCTTCCTTCCTTCCTTCCTTCCTTCCTTCCTTCCTTCCTTCCTTCCTTCCTTCCTTCCTTCCTTTCTCCCTCCCTCCCTCCCTCCTTCCTTCCTCCTTCCTTCCTTCCTTCCTTCCTTCCTCCTTCCTTCCTTCCTTCCTTCCTTCCTTCCTTCCTTCCTTCTTCCTTCCTTCCTCCACTGTCCCTCCCTCCCTCTCTTCCTTCCTTCCTCCCTCCCTCCCTTCCCTCCTTCCTCTTACCTTTCTAATACTATCAAAGAATCATAGGTCATCATTTCCATTATTTAAACTTGGTGCAGTTTGAAGCATCTTCAATAGATAATTATCTAATTATTTAGACTATAAAGATAAATCTGTGTTGTTCTGTTAGACTCTTCTCCAGATTTAAAGTTTTACATAATTTCCAAGGAGGAGGATGGGGGGTGGGGAGGAGATGTTGAGGTGATAGGTAAAATATTAAGGTAGAAATCCTGGTGAAACAGCACAACATCAAATATCAAATATTTTTTACTTCATTTTATTTTTTTTTTTGGGAAAAGTTATACTAGTCTAGTTGGCTTAGCCGTGACCACTATGGATGATGAGAGTTAACAATCTATTACAGGGATGTCAAACTCGCGTCATCCTTGGCGTCATCATAGGATGTCTCGCGACTTTGTTCCCCTTCGCTAAACCAGGAGTGGGCATGGCCGGCGTGACGCATCCGGCCTGCAGGCCGCGAGTTTGACACCCCTGATCTATTATATCTGGAAGGTTTCATATTTTTTTAAACACATGATTACACTGATTTCAGGTTACCTCTGAATACTATAGGAACACAAGAGCATTCTTTTAGGATTTTAAGTTTGGCTTTCCCCCCATATGTCTCTTCAATGAACTGTTAAATCTTATGGATGCAGGCAGGGGTGAAATGTAAACTGTTTTACTACCGGTTCTGTGGGTGTGGCTTGGTGTGTGTGTGTGGGGGGGGGGTAATGTGACTGGGTGGGTGTGGCCAACTTTTTTTTAAAAAAAACTTTTCAAAGCATTTTTTCTAATGCTTTGAAAAGCCTCTGGCAATCAGGCAACTCAGCTGGGATCGTCAGAGAGGTTTTTTAAAAAATGCCTCTTTGCCCATTAGGCAACTCAGCTGGGATCATCAGAGACTTTTCAAAGCATATTTTTACCACCTCTTCGGCCAAGAGGTTGCAGAAAAAAATGCTTTGAAAAGCCTCTGAGGATCCCAGCTGAGCCATGCGATCATCAGAGGCTTTTTTTTTTTTTGTCGGAAGAGGTTGTAGAAAAAATGCTTTTAAAAGTAAAAAAAAAAAGCCTCTGATGATCGCGTGGCTCAGCTGGGCATGGGGGGGGGCAGGGATTTTTGCTACCGTTTCTCCGAACCACCCGCCACCATCGCTACCAGATCAGGCGATCCGGTCCGAACCAGGAGCATTTTACCCCTGGGTGCAGGGCAGTAGTGGATTTCAATTTAGTTTGCTACCAGTTTGCTTATGCACATGTGCAGAAGCATCTGGGTGGGTGGGCGGAGCCTCCCACCGCTACCGGTTCGCCCAGTAGCGCTTACAATCTTTTTGGACTGTTGCCTTCTGGCAGAAGATACAGACCAATTAAAACTTGGACCACACGTTTTCTGAATAGTTTTTATCCCAGAGCTATAATTGCACTCAACAATGAACTAAAGGGCCACCATCAGTGAGCTGTTGGACAGCATTACTTGGTCTGTTGTGTGGATGTTTGGGTGGTTTAGGGGTGGGGAATTTGTGATGGGTGGGAGTGTGTTTGGGGATTGTTTTGTGTGTTGGACCTAGTCTTTGGGTATTAAGTGTATGGGTATACTGTGTATACACGTACAATGACAAGTTATTATTATTGTTGTTGTTGTTATGTAGAAGGGGTCTCCAACCTTTGCAACTTTAAGACTTGTGGACTTCAACTCCCAGAATTCTAGGAGTTGAAGTCCACAAGTCTTAAAGTTGCCAAGGTTGGAGGTCCCTGTTATGTAGAACATCTCTGGCAGAAAACTGAAGCTGGAGGCCCCCGAGACATATGTTGGAAGCCTCTTTCTCCAAAGCTTGTCCAGTTGAAGTGTTTCAGAGGAAAACGGGCCCAAACTTCAGAGATCAACACTGAAGCTTGTAGCCTGCAATGAATGCCACAATTTCCCCTGCTGCTTTATGATGCTTTTTTTTTTAAAGGGAGTTGAATGTTCGTTCTGCTCTTTGTTACAAAGACTTCCAGGGTAAATTTACCTGCAGGATTAGCAAACACACCAGTTGTGGGAGAGATTGTAGAATGCTCTCCATATGGGAAGTGTAGGAAGGTAGCACCTACCCCTCTCCTAGGAAAATGAGAAATTTTAGGAAATATTAAAAGGGCAGATTATTTCCCCTAAAAGGGAGGCAGAAACTCGGCCTCCCACCTTTGCCAATGGGCCATTAAGGCCTGGGCCAGTCTATGCTACATAACAAAGATCTACCTCCTGCAGGCAGAGCCATAATAGGAATTGCCCAAAGCCCTTTCTTTACATCATCACCCAGCAAGGCTCAACCAAGCCTGGGGCATAGACAACCTACAAAGTTACCCCTGCATGGCCCCATAGGAGTCTGACAACCAATCAGAACACAAGCTCAAATTCAAAGCCCAAGAGAGGGTATAAAACCCAGGCACTCTCAGCATCTCTGACCTTCTCTGCCCAGGATCTCAAACCATGTGATCCTGTTCATCAATAAACCTTCTTTCCAAGCAACTTCCATGAATCCAGTGTCTTTTCTCCCATTTGGAACTGAACCCAGAGGGACATTTCTTCCAACAGCATGAAACCTGGTTGGGTAACTTTTGCCAATCATTAGAAAATGATAGTGATTCTAATCCCACTTTAGGCATGAAAACAAATTTGGTGACTTTTGGGCCATTTCTTCTCTCTGCCCAACCTCTCTCACAGGGGTGGAGTTGTTGCATTAAAAAGAGGAGGAAGGAGTATTGTGTGTGTTCGCCTCCTTGAATTATTTATAAAAATAATAAAGGTGGGATATAAATAAAATAAAAATTTTAAAAAAATGAAGCACATGCATGAAGTGTGTGTAGGTAGTATACATGTGATGGGAAGAACACTGATTAGAGCAGGGGTCTCCAACCTTGGCAACTTTTAAGACCTGTGGACTTCAATTCCCAGAATTCCTCAGCCAGCTTCTGGGAGTTGAAGTCCACAGGTCTTAAAGTTGCCAAGGTTGGAGACCCCTGGATTAGAGAATATTGTCTCTCTGTGATCCATGTCTATCCAAATGTATGCGGATACCCATTCTTCCAGTCACCCAATCATTCATCTTCCTGAGTTCACACATGCATTGCCTTGCAGGAATAGAGGATGTAGACACAGGGAGGGAGAAAAAAAAAATCCAGTTTTCAAAACAGAGTCTTGGAATGGGAAGTAGTAAGGTTTATAATACATGGTGTTAAGTTTATAGTACACAGCATTGCTTCCTTTAAATGACAGAATGCAACAGTGGGAAAGGAGGAAGGTCGTACATTAACCGTTACTAAACACTAAAGATCATCAAATCTTGTTATGTTATACATGTACAGCAACTAACTGCTTTACAAAAAGCAAAATAATACAATATATTGTCACATGTATTTACAGTATAGTAAATATACTTTTTTTTTCTGTCAAATTTTACACAAAAATATTTACAGGGTGAATATACGGCATTAAAAAAAGGATGTGGCAAATGCAAAAAAGTGAGTTCTGTTAAAGTCTGTTGCATAACATTAAGACGTGCTTCATGGGGGGGGGGGAGGCAAAATTAAAGCAGAAACGATGTTGGGGTATGGTAGGGCGAGAATGTCTCTAATCCCCCACAAACAGATCCAGAGAAGAGCACCAGCCGTATCCTCAAATATTCCATCCTGTAGCACGTGGGAGTTCAAATGTTCCCTGCTTATGGAAAAGAAAAGGATGCACATCCGAGTTGGAAAGCACAGATGGTTTTAAAGGAATTTTTATGCACACAGGCACACGTTCAAAAAAAAAAATTGCATCATGTCTGAAATTCAAAATCAAGGAAGGCAGAAAAACACACAAAACAAAATCCCTGCAACCTGCTAAATATTTACAGTACTTCCAAAGCCCACTCGGAAACGATGCTTTAACAAGGAGTGTCAAAATTTAACTCCCCCTTCCCCCTTGAAGTTCTGTCAGTTCTACACCGCAGGACAAAACTAGGTTTTCATGATACTGAAATCCCACTGGGATTGGTCAGTTGTAATACAGTCAAGTTTCTAGCCCTCTGCCAACACCTGCTGATAACCAGAAGTTGAGACATGCTGGTTGAGAAGTGCAAATTCACACTAGGCTTTGCACAGACAGGAAATCACTCTACTCTCCAGCAAGTTACGCAGGAACGCTTTGTTTCATGGATCTATCCTTTAAAAAGAGAAGGCACATGGATACTCACCAGGCAACTACCCGCTCGGCAAGGGACACACACTTTTCCCCTCTCCTACACTTGTTGTCATATTTTTGGAGGCAATTTTGATTGGCTGAAGTATCTCGGGTCCCCCCCCCTCCAAATGCCTCCTCCAAGTTAAAAAAAGGAAAAGGAAACTTTTAAAGCAGGCATGTCCGACTTCGCCAACTTTTTAAGATTTGTGGACCTCAACTCCCAGAATCCCTCATCCAGAACAGCTGGCTGACGAATTTTGGGAGTTGAAGTTCACAGGTCTTAAGGTTGCCAAGGTTGGATGGACACCCCTGTTTTAAAGCAAGGGGGCATTTGAGGGTCTACCGTCCGGTGTGGCCGATACCAAGAGGGGAGAAGACAAGAAAAAATGGGGGGAAAGGGCTTCAGCCAGGATGGGTGGGTGGGGAAACACAGTGGAGAGGATGCTCCCCCTCCCAAAATGAAAGGAAGCAAACAGTTAAGGCACTGAGCAACTTAGCCAGAAGGGGTTGTTTTAAAATAGGAGGGTGCACCGCTTCTGCCCCCTGGTGGAGGGAACAAGCATTTCCAGGCTGATTGAGAGGGCAACGTAGGGAGGCTAATTTAGGTTGACATCTTCTAAAACTGCCAATTGTGATCTCAGGGGCTCTCAAGTCGTTCAGTTTTTGTGTCGTCCAAGCTATCTTAGGCACAATTTTTCTATCAGTCTTATTTCAAATCTACACTGGAGAGGATCATACATTTTATCCAGTGGTGGGATTCAAATAATTTAACAACCGGTTCTCTGCCCTAATTATTTCTTCCAATAACCAATTCACCGAACTGCTCAGAAAGTTAACAACCGGTTCTCCCGAAGTGGTGCGAACTGGCTGAATCCCACCACTGATTTTATCCCAACCTGGGTTAACTTTACCATACCCAAAAGTCTTGCAGCATTTTGGAAAGGAAGAGAGAGACTGGGACCCCAAGTTCTCTGTCTCGGCTCAGAGAAATGGTCAGGCTGAAACAAGTCACACTTTGGACTGTCTTCCTACAACGCGCTCAATCCTAAACCCAAATTAAGAAAACATGGTTGGCTGGCTGTGTTTCCATAAACAGGCTCAAACAAATACGTACACAGGTAGTCCTCGACTTACAACAGTTTGTTTAGTGACCGTTCAAAGTTACAATGGCCCTGTAAAATGTGACTTGCGACCGTTTTTCAGAGTTATGACCTTTGTAGCATCCCCATCATCATGTGATCAAAATTCCAAGGTTTGGCAACTGGTTCATATTTATGACCGCTGCTAGGTCACAAGGTTATGTGATCACCTTTTACGACCTTCTCACAAGTAAAATCAATGGGGAAGCCAGATTCACTTAACAACCGGGCTACTAGTTTATCAACTGTAGTGATTCACTTAACAACAGGGGCAAGAAAGGTCATAAAAAGGAGCAAAACTTTAACAAATGTCTCACTTAAGAGAAATGTTGGGCTCAGTTGTGGTCATACGTTGAGGACTAGCTGTGGTTTCAAAGCAGGGGTGTCCAACCTCAGCAACTTTAAGACTTGTGGGCTTCAATTCCCAGAATTCCCCAGCCAGCAACTGAAGTCCACAAGTCTTAAAAAGTTGCCAGAGTTGGACACCCCTGCTTTAAAGTGTTGTCCAAGCTCATCCAGCATGGCTGGGTTTCTGAACCACAAACTCTCCAGCCTTACTTCAGCTCAGATTTGATGTGTGAACCTATCCTGATGGTTTCTAATAAGGGGAGACTTAGTTACATGCCATGGGGAGCACATCTGGGTGCATTCATACTGCTATTCCTGGGCCATGCCTGTCCCTCCCCGCAAAACCCCTCTACCACCCCTTTTCTTTGTAAAGCTGAGCCCACAAGACTTCAGAAGGTCCCCTAATACCCAGAAAAGGCTCAAACTTTTTTTCCTCCTGCAGGTGAAAAGCTTCCCAGCTGTGGTCACAGTGGACTGCAAAGATGCTGCAATGAAACTAATTCTAAAAAGGAATTTAAAATGTTCTTACGACTAGTCTGAATCTATGCCTCTTAAAAGTTCCCTCGGCAAAGGAAACCAGTTACAGCAACTCAAAAAAAGCTAACTTGACTGGAGATTCTTATTTTTGGATTAGCAGAGGAGGAGGAGGAGGATACAAAGCAGAGGGCTTCTTCTCAACTCCTTCTGGAGTAGGACATTTACTCATCCCAATGTCAATAAGTAACCTAGAGGCTACTGTTATCAGCTTTCGTCAGCTTTTAGAGCAGGGATCTCCAAACCTGGCAATTTTAACCCTTGTGGACTTCAACTCCCAGAATTCCTCAGCCAGCATGGCATGGCTAGCTAAAGGATTCTGGGAGGTGAAGTCAACTAGTCTTAAAAGTTGCCAGGTTTGGAGAGCCCTGCTCTAAAGATATTGGACTACATCTCTTGAAATCCCTAATACCGCCAGCATGTCTCATTCTACAGGTGAAACACTTTGGCCTCCTTTAATTGATTGATATAAGTACAATCTGGTTTCCAAAGTTTCCAGGCAAGACCAAACATCCCATTGGCTGGAAATTTTAGGAGCAGCAGCCCTCCTACATCCAGAAAAGGCCAGTCTAGAATAAACAGGCTTCTTTGGAATAAGATGTTCGGCTTTAGATGGATCCACCTCTCCAGGTGTGGTTCAGGTTACAGAACGGATGCAGGTAACCAGACGGAAGTCCAAAAGATTTGGGGCCCTTTTTTGAAGAGCCTTCCTTGACTGCCAGGGAAACTTCCCCAACTCACCGACGTTTCTTGGCACTCAGTGATAATCCACTTGGCTTCCACCTTTCCACACCACTGATTTTGGCATGTGGTTCTGTCATCTGTGTGGCACATGGAGCAATTTTGGCAGAGTAGGTGTAACTTCTCCAAAACAATCGGATTTGGCACGACAACATACATCACAAAGAGACCAGGAAAGAACCTGAGTCTTGGGACAATGCTGGGCCTCTTCGGAGTACAGAAATCTTCACTTAAAAAGCCTGAAGGAACTTCCTCTTCCATCTTCTCCACTCGTGCTTCAATTAATTCGGCTACAGATCCAATGGACCAAGGGAATCCTCTCTTTCCCAATCAACTTCTTTGTGACTTTTCTTGGTTTGGCAGACAGTTGGCATCTGACACTGTATTCGCAGCCCACCTCCCCTGACGTAACAAGATTAAACAGTTCTTCTCCATACTGATACAATAAAAGCAATTATTTTTATATATACAAAAACACAACTACGCGTTGAATGAATTGCTAATATAACATGCTACCTGACAGTAATAAATCTGGACCTTCATTGTACCATCTCTGAAAGATTTAGCTGTGGAATTTCACTTACTGAAAATCCGCACTGAAAGTTCACTACAGGGGCCTTAGGGGTAGTTTAGTTATTTGTGGAGGTGTGGGAGTATAACTTTCAACAGTTAATTCATTTCTGGGGTTTTTTTTCCCTGTTTAAAGTCAAGAGGTGATGGCTTTCCAAATTCAGACAGATGGAGCCTTTTTGGACAAAGTTGGCATGGTAAAGCTAGTATGTTTTGTTGTTTTGTCGGCTGAGGCTTCTCAAACTTGGTGGTACTTGGTGGAAAGCAAGTGTCAAAATGTCAGAGAAGACAGCAAATCTAGGATATTCCACCTTCTTTTCGCCATAAAATTCCGGGGGGTGGTTATGGGCCACCGATTTTTCTCTGTTTATTACTTCTATTTTACTGTGAAGCGTATGCAGCATAGCAATCAAAAAATGTTCTATAAAAGCACTTACCATAATTTAGGTCAGCCAGAAGGGTGTATATGTGTGTATGAGTGTGTGTGTGTGCATGCAGGTATCCATGCACAGTTTGTCTAGGCTCTAGGGAATCTAAAAAACAAAGTGATGGAAAGTTTAACAAAACTCAAAGAGTTTGTTCAATCTTGCACAAGGTGCTATTTTTGGAAGCATCAAGGGATACACCATCTCCTCAAATATCTAGCTCAGTATTTCTCAACCATGGCAAATTCCACAGCTAGCGGGGCCATTGAAGAGAATTCTGGGTGTTGAAGTCCACACACCTGGAAATTGCCATGGTTAGGAAACTCCGGTCTAGATGATCAAATAAAGGAGTATATCTTGACCATCTAAACTGTGTTCCCCTTACAACTTACAACCTTCAGAACTGGGCTCAGAGGACCAGTAAAAGGAAGTCCACAGCTAAAGAGGACTCTACACTATGCAAGTTTATTGGCCCAAAAAAATCTCACTAGTGTGCAAACAAGATTGAATATTAACACTTTAAAAAGTAGACACAAAATAAGCTGTAAAAAAAGAAACACCTCCCCCCAAATCAAAATAATCCCTCAATTTACAAAAAGAAAAAAATATATGAAGCTATCCGAAGGAAGATGATCATGATTTCTGTGTCTTCGGATACAATTATCATCACTTCTGCCTATAATTCATTTTATTTTTTTTCCAGTTCCTCACGTAGTCCCACTCGTCAGCTTTGAAATCACTGGTTTTGAAAATGATCAGAGGAGGAGCAAGTCTTTAAAAAAAAAAAAAGGCAGCTGTATGAAATCGAAGTGAAAATCCAAAATAAATGTACAAGAACCGTTTCAAAAGTTAATTGCCTGGCACCATGTTGGACAGGGGTGAGGAGGTGGGAGGATCAAATTTAAGTGCGGCATGATTGTTTTGGGGAAGTGGGGCCAGAGGGAATAAGTCAGGTTTTTGTTTTTTTAAAAAAGGAAAAAGCTTCACATCATCTTCTTAACACTGTGGCGCTTGAAACTGCCGGTGCTCCGTTGCTTCTGCACTTGGCTAGCTGAGCCATGGCGAGTCCTTCCGCTGTTGGCGTGTGCGGCTGTTGGAGACAGTTCCACGTTCTCCTTGTCGATTCCTTGAAAAAAAAGAAATGCATCAAGAAAGAAAGAGGCACCGGTACGCAAACGAGCGTAAAACCTTGGGCGGTTGATTATACAAATGGTAAAATAAGGTAACTTGGCTGCATCAAGGGTGTTTCAAAAGGAAGGAAGGAAGGAAGGAAGGAAGGAAGGAAGGAAGGAAGGAAGGAAGGAAGGAAGGAAGGAGTGCATAGAAGTGCATATGGAGCCGAATTGAACTGGAAGGCAGCAGAAACCTAAGCACTCCCCACATTCTTGGGGTCCAACCTCACCATCCTGCTGGCTACCAAACATAGGTAGCTCAGGCTACTGGTACCACCCAGTTCCAGGGAAATGGACTGCATAACTTTTAAATTTATATATATATCTATATCTATGGAATCCTTGTGGCTTGCAAGATCAGGCACTGGGAAAGGAGCAGTTAAGAGGCAATCTGGGTGCTTCTTGAGTCTAAAGTCCACCATATCCCCTAAGATGGAGAGCACCCTATTTTTCAGAGATTTAAAGACCAGCGTTTTGGATAGGTTTGTACCTATTTCCACCATTAAATCCTTTCTTCTCTCCTTAAGCAGGGGAATATCAATCCAATTTAGGGAGGAATTTAAAAGTGAAATGGGTACCCTGCAAAAACTTCAGAAACGTTTTCAGGGGGGGGGGAAAACCACCACCGTGTCCAGTTGCCTTTTGGAAAAAAACTTTTGGGATCGCCATGGCTTGGATGATTGAGCATCTTCATAGATTATCTGTCAGGGCAACACTTACGAGAAGGGAAGTCACAGAATACAAAATGCAGGCCTGAAGGTTTGTGGGGCGAGGGCTAAGGATTGAAACGCTGACTCAAAACCTTCCCACCAAAAAGTATTTCATTTTTTTTTTTTTAAAAAAAAAAGAGGGATCATCTAGTTCCAGCTCAGTTTGTGATTCAACAAGAGGTCGCAACCCCTCCATTTCTGTGCTCCGGCTAACCCCCAAATTCTTGTCCCCCCCCCTTTTCAGTATAAATTAAGGGTGTGAACTGAATCTTACCCAAAGGATATGTAACTTGCATCTCTTTCTGGAGAGAGAGTATATTTGGGATTTTAAATCAGGGGCCAGTCCCACCTTGGGACTTTTAAGATTTGTAGACTTCTACGGTACTCCCAGAATTCCACAACCAGTCAAAGTCACCAAGGTGGGACAATCCTGTTTTAAATCAAATGAATGTGAGGGGATAAGAAAAGGTTTGGAAGGAAAGAGAGAAATGGGTCAGGAAACGAGAAAAAGGAGGAGGATGGAAAGAGAAGTACAAATACTCCTACGAGAAGATGTAAGCTAACATTCACGGGGAGAAAATTATAGAAATGGTTCAAAGGACTTAAGTATTCTCTAAAGAAGGAAGAATAAAGTACTGACAGCTTTTGGGAGCAGAATTTTTTTAAAAAGTCAACTAAGGGATTAAGACAGAACATATATGCAGATATGGGGGGGGGGAATAGAATTATTTCCTTCTTTCTCCTGTCACTTTAAAACTGGGGACCATCCAAATATTTAAAAAGATTTGGAGCAGATAGGAGAATGTCCCTAATACACGGTAACTCAGAATCTCCTAGGGGAAAGCCATTTAGTATTTGTCTGTAACCCGAATATCACAGCCAGATGGAACTATCTTCAATTTCCAGGGCTAATATAGTTAGTCCTTGACTTAGAACCACGACTGAGCCCAACATTTCTGTTGCTATGCAAAACAGTTAAGTGAGTTTTGCCCCATTTTACAATCCTTTCTTGCCACGGTTGTTAAGTGAATCTGGCTTCCTCGTTGACTCTGCTTATCAGAAGGTTGCAAAAGCTGATCACATGCCCCCAGGACACTGCAACCGTCATAAATATGAGCCACTTGACAAGTGTTTGAATTTTGATCACATGACCCTGGGGAATGCTGTTGTGTGAAAAATGGTCACAGTCCACCTTTTTCAGTGCTGTTGTAACTGACCGGTTACTAAATGAACGGTTGTAAGTCAAGGACTACCTGTACATTGTCTTAACAAAGATGGGTGGTTTAGCAAGGAGGAAGAATGAGGTTTGCCAGTGTTTAAGAAGAAACTTATCATTCAGTCCCATCCTAGAGTTGGAATTACCTGCTATAATCATTTTTGAACTTGGGGATTATCAGTTATCAGTTTGGAAAGCCGATTCTTGAAGGTGATTTGAGAAATGCAGGGTATAGGAGATGTACATTGATTACAGGTGAGACTTATGTTTGGTCTTTTGGACTTTTGTTTGTGGATGTTTCACTCCCCAACAGAGCACTGAGGATGCTACCTAGTTGGGTAATGAAATGTCTACAAACAAAGGTTCTACATTTAGGCAAGAAAAACCAAATGCACAGGTACCGTATATGTGGTACCTTGCCCAACAGTAGTAACTGTGAGAGGGATCTTGGAGTCCTAGTGGACAATCATTTAAATATGAGCCAGCAGTGTGCTGCAGCTGCCAAAAAAGCCAACACATTTCTAGGCTGCATAAACAGAGGAATAGAATCAAGATCACATGAAGTGTTAATACCACTTTATAATGCCTTGGTAAGGCCACACTTGGAATACTCATCCAGTTTTGGTCACCATGATGTATAAAAGATGTGGAAACTCAAGAAAGAGTGCAGAGAAGAGCATCAAAGATGATTAGGGGACTGGAGGCTAAAACATATGAAGAACAGTTGCAGGAACTGGGTATGTCTAGCTTAATGAAAAAGAAGGACTAGGGGTGACATGATAGCAGTGTTCCAATATCTCAGGGGTTGCCACAAAGAAGAGGGAGTAAAACTATTCTCCAAAGCACCTGAGGGCAGGACAAGAAGCAATGGGTGGAAACTAATCAAGGAGAGAAGCAACTTAGAAATAAGGAGAAATTTCCTGACAGTTAGAACAATTAATCAGTGGAACAACTTGCCTCCAGAAGTTGTGAATGCTCCAAAATTGGACGTTTTTAAGTAGATGTTTGATAACCATTTGTCTGAAGTGGTGTAAGGTTTCCTGCCTAAGCAGGGGGTTGGACTAGAAGACCTCCAAGGTCCCTTCCAACTCTGTTATTCTATTCTATTCTAAACAATCAAGCTCTGAGACCATCAAGAACTCCACCAAAGAGACAGGTTCCAGACTGATTCAAACAGTAACTTCTCAGAAAGTCTTCCACCATGGCTAACACTTCTCAGATGGACTTCCACCACAGCTAAAGCTTCTCAGATGAACTTCCACCACTGCTGAAGCAATGTGGTTCATGCTAACTTTTCCTATTAACCCAACCTTCTTAGAAAGATAAGGACCAGGGATGGAGTTGTGACTCAACAATGGCAGAGCTCCAGAATTCACTACACTTCCACCTTGCCTTGCTCCAATCCCCAAAGTGTAGAGATTAACATGCACAAAGGACTCTTAACTAGAATTTGCAGGGCAAGGATCAGTCTTTCCAAGAAATGAAAGCAAGATTTGACTGTTGACTCTGTAACATCAACTCCAAACTAAGGTCCTGCCCCAAATATGGACAAGAAAGGGAATAAAGGGGAGACTGAATTGTCAAAATGTAGCACGGAGTCCTTGCAGAACTGTGCAATGACGAACAGTTCTTGTAATCCTTTGGCTAGCTTCCCCAGGTGTTACTCGGATTAGTATGTCCTGCAGTAGGAAAAGAAATATATACCCACTATATTCTTGGCAGCAATTGTGTGAGTTGCCACTTTTTCTGCATGTAAATAAGTCTGCCCAGAGGCAAGGTTTTTACTGATGATAATCTGAAAATCTCAAAGAAACGGGGGACAAATATTGGGGTTAAGAAACAAAGCAATTCTTATTAAATTGAGTCTCTGTGATAACCTCACAGAACAGACATTTTCCCTGAGTGAACAACTTCCTCTCCGCTACTCTTCTCCTCAGAGATTGCAATGATTTGAGCAGTTACAAGTAGGTGAGACATATCTGTGGCACATGGAGGTGATTTGGTAGCTAATTGTGTGCTAAGCCACGTCTCCAGGGGTGGGCTTCAAAAAGGGGTTCTCTGCCCTGTTGCTGGGTGGGCGTGGCCATGTTGGGTGTGGCCTAGTCGGCCTCCTGCACCACAGTGGGGAGGGGGCATTTTTGCCCTCCCTGGGCTCTGGAGGCTTTCTTTGAACCTCCGGGAGGGCGAAAACAGCCTCCCCAGTCTCCGAAGGCCCTCTGGAGGCTGGAAACGGGCCCATTTCTGGCCTTCCCAAACTTCCAGTAGGCCCATTTTTCGCCCTCCCCGAGCCTCCGCACAGGCCCTGCACTTACCTGCATCCATAATGGGCCACATGGGGACTCCTGGAAAGGGCGGGGCTGGGTGGGCGGGACCAGCCAGGAGTGGGATTTAGGGGTTCTCTGAACTGCACAGAATCTTAGCTAGAGGTTCTCCCGAACCCCTGCGAACCCCCAGCAGCCCACCCTTGCACATCTCTCATAATCCCCAAGGCCATGCTGGCTCAGAACTATGGCAGTTGTGCTCCAACATGCCTGGAATGTCCTAGATTCAATAATGGTTTGGATCTGGGTCTCCGTTATGAGAGAGATCCAAACAACTTCACCCTCTTAAACATCAAGATTTTGGAGCTAGGAAGACCACAGAATAAGGTGAGCAATGCTAGCAAAGAAAAACCAGTGAAGAATACATCCATTAAAGTTGGTAACCCAAAGAGCCAAAGGGAACTTCTATTCAGGAGCCCTGGTGGCGCAGGAGTTAGAATGTAGTATTGCAGGCTGACTCTGCCCACAGCCTGGAGTTCGATCCTGACAGGGCTCAAGGTTGACTCAGTCCTCCAGCCTTCTGCAGTCGGTAACACCAGGACCCAGATTGTTGGGGGCAAGATGCTGATGCTATAAACCACTTAAAGAGTGCTGTAAAGCACCATGGGACGGTATATATGTCTGAGTGTTATTGCTATTGCTATTGTTCTGCCTCCGAATACCAGTCCCTGCAGAACAATGGCCAAAAAGATTCCTTGAGTTGGGCCCTTCTGGGAAAAAGTCTGCAGGACTCAACTGGGATCCTTGCCTTTTTCAAACTTCATCATAAGATCTCAATGGGGTGGGATTTCACTGTTTTCTAAGACTCTGCTTTTCCTGTAACAATGATATTATTTGCTAAAATCCAAGACACCAGTCCAGAATGACCTCCGAATCTATGCCTCGGAGGCGCACCAACATTTTGGGGGTGAAAGTTGCACATGGCACTCCAGGGAAACACTCCCAAAAGTGAATAGGCCAGGGCAGAAACTAAATTTGATGTAAAACTTAAGTAACATTAAAATCACCTAAATTTGTGTTCTCTCCCTGTGTATTTAATAATTTATTTGTTCTACCTCATTTGGTTTGGATTTTATTGAAGTGATGCATTCCACAGGAATAAGAGGCAGGTCAATGCAGATGTGTTGTGTGAAAGAAGGAGGGTGAAGGCAGTTCCTCCGTAATACCGTATTTCCCCGAAAATAAGACCCCGAAAAAGTCTTATATTAATTTTTGCTCCAAAAGACGCATTAGGGCTTATTTTTTTATTAGGTCTTATTTTTGGAGAAATACGGTACTAAATGCATCCATCTGGCTGACAATCTTAACTGGGGCTTATTTTGGGGATAGGACTTATATTACGAGCATCCTGAAAAATCATGCTAGGACTTATTTTCCAGTTGGGTCTTATTTTCGGGGAAACAGGGTAGTTCCCAGGGAACTACTATATAGTAGATGCAGATAGTAGAGTGCTTAGCCTGGCAAGTTTCTATTTATAGGTGTGGCGCAATAAAGAGCTCACCACATGTCTTTCTCGGTTTTAGGGCCTTACATCAATCTTGCCAACTTGAAGCACTGCCATATACTCTGAGAATTATTACCTGTCTTCACTCTCTTTCTCTCACACAACGTATCAGGACTGAGCTGTCTCTTATTCCTCTTGCCATGCATGCCCCCTCCCTCTTGGGAATCCAATCCACTACAGTCCATCATATATGGCAACTTTTGAAGAAAGTATGAGAAATACCCCGGAGGCTTTAGAAGGGAATAGAACTAGAGGTTAAGTGATCTCCATCAGAGATGGAATAGACATCCACTCGAGGCCCAATTCATCCTGCTGCTCTTGAACATGCCCTGTCTCTTCAACATGGGAGCAGAAGCATTGGGCTCAGGCATTAGAGTTCTGCATTTCCCTTTGTCAAAGGAATCATAGAATCATAGGATCAGAAGGGACCTTGGAGGTCTTCTACTCAAATCCCTTGCCCAAGATAGGAGTCCTTAAATCATCCCACACAAATGTTTGTCCAATCTTTTTTTTTTTTTGAAAGCAATGGAGCTCCAGGAGACAAGCCGTTCTCACTGACAGGAAATCCCTCCTTATTTCCAGGTTGAATTTCCCTCTGATGAGGTCCCATCCATTGCTTCGTGTCCCGCCCTTGGGTGCAATGGAGAATAAATGGACACCCTCCTTCCCTGTGATAAGCCCTTCAACTGGGTAGACATCTTTTGACTAGCCATGTTACCCACACACACACAAAATTCCTTTCATTTTCCCAAAGCAATAGCTCATGCAAGTGGAATGGAACAGATGGAGGGGGAGGAGCAGAAAGAGTTAGAGAATGTGTACCTGGGCGAGGAAGGTTGGATGAAAACGGCTGATTTAGAGCAAGGCAGAGATGCTTCACAGACACAAGATGAGAGAGGTAAGATGAGCGATCAACAGTCAGGATTCGGGGAAAGATACAAAACATTTACTGGACAGGGATAATGTGTACATCTCTCTATCCCTCCCGGTGTCCTTCCCCTGCCCAACTCAAGCAATCATTCTCACTTCTACACAAATCGGATATATGGAAAACCCTCAACACATTTTTGTTTGAACGGTGCACTTTGCAAGAGGAGAAACATTGGAGAAAGCCTGGCTCAGGTCCCAGGAAGAAGCAAGCAAAACCACTCACTTGATGCAGCTATCATATGTCAAAAAGAGACAGTGAAGAAAAAGTTCCTTTTTGCTGTCTCTAGCCCACTGTTTCTCAATCTTGACAACTTTTAAGATGTGTGGACTTCCAGCTCCTAGAATTCCCCAGCTAGCATGACAGTTGAGGAATTCTGGGAGTTGAAGTCCACGCATCTTAAACGTTGCCAAGGTTAAGAAACCCTGTCCTTAGTCTAAAGCAGAGAGTCTTATTGGAACTCCCAAAGAAACCTTAGGTAGACAAAGTAGATACTATTATACATTGAAATAATGGAAAATACTTGTAGCTTGGGTTTTAGATTTTGGCAGTGGTTTGCTCTCCAAAGCTTGTTTCAATTTAGTTTCTGAACGTTTCATTACCAGACTAGGTAACATCATCACAGGATTTTCTTGTCCTATTCTCCTTCGCTTATAAAATGTCTTGTGTGCCAGTTGGGTCAGTTGGTCGTGTGATTGGTTGTTCGTTTGGAAACTATATTTAAATTCTGAACAGCAACAGGAGAACCAATCAGCTGCTCAGAATTTAAATATAGTCCAAACGAACAACCAATCACACGACCAACTGACCCAACTGGCACACAAGACATTTTATAAGCGAAGGAGAATAGGACAAGAAAATTCTGCTGATGACGTTATCTAGTCTGGTAACGAAACGTTCAGAAACTAAATTGAAACAAGCTTGGACAGCAAAGCACTGCCAAAATTATTATACATTCTCCAAAAACTTCCAGGACTCCCAAGATTTTTCATAATTCCTTCTATGATTGAAGCAACCCCATTTGGACAAATCAAGAGATTTTGCCCAGTGTCTTTGCCTAAAAGTTTTCTCTCTGCTTCTGATGTAACTTTAGGAAATGTAGAGCAGATACTTGGTCCTGCTTCTCGCAGCTGCAGCTCTGAACCTGCCTTCTTATTGGCCATTATTGCTTCAGACATTTACTTTAGGAATCAAAGTTCTGGAAAAATTCCTGCTTTCTCGATTTTTGTTTTTCATGAAAAACCCACTGCCCTCGCCCATCAAGAGAATGACATAGGAATTAACCACATAGAAACAAAAGGTAAGTCAGGGAGAGTTGAAAACTAATTTCTACATTTTTTTTTACAGTAATTCCATGAATGCTTTCAGGTAATGGACAACTGTATTTTACATGGAACAAGAGAGAAATCACACAGCCACTTCTCACACTGAAGTACAAATCGGAAGGGGCTTAAACTATTTCTGTGTTCATATAACACAACTAACAAGTCAGCTGGGTAGGGAACAGCAATAATAAGCAAACAAGAAAACACTGTCAAACTCTTCACTAAGGCTGCATTACTATTACTATTAGTCTTCTCATTGTTCCTATCACCCATCTCCTCCCACTTATGACTGCATGACTATAACGTTGTTGCTTGTATTGTTAGGATTTATATTTAATGTTTCCTGGTTGCTTATTTGTACCCTATGACTATCATTGAGTGTTGTACCTTATGATTCTTGACTAATGTATCTTGTCTTTTTATGTACACTGAGAGCATATGCACCAAAGACAAACTCCTTGTGCGTCCAATCACACTTGGCCAATAAAGAATTCTATTCTGTTCTGTTCTGTTCTGTTCTGTTCTGTTCTGTTCTGTTGTTCTGTTCTGTTCTATTCTACTCTACTCTACTCTACTCTACTCTACTCTACTCTACTCTACTCTACTCCTACTCCTACTCTACTCCTACTCCTATTCTGGTCTGGTCTAGAAGCCTAGTGCCAAATCAACAACATGTATCTTACTAACCCACTACCTGGGAGAAAAGCCAGCTCTTACCAGCTTTCTAGAAAGCGAAGAGATTGCAAGCTTGTTGGATTACCAGGGAAAGGATGTTTCACGGCACAGGAGCTGCTACAGAAAAGATATGCTTCCTAGCTACCACTAGATGGCGATATTTGAGGGAAGAAAGGGACCTGGAAGGTGACTGTCACTCTTAACTTGGCTGCTGGGGCCTACCCAAAGATGCTTTTTCAAGAGGAAACTGGACTTTCTTGTTTTTTCTTCTGAAGACGTTTTGCTTCTCATCCAAGAAGCTTCTTCAGCTCTGACAGGATAGTGGGGAGATGAAGAAGCTTCTTGGATGAGAAGCAAAATGTCTTCCAGTTGTTCAGTCATCTCCTGAAAAAAGCACCTTTGGGAAAACCATAACCTGGATGACTGAGAATCTCTACAGACTGCTAGGGGTCTAATTAAGGAACTTCCAAGAAAAAAACAAGACCTCTACCAACACTGACAGGGCAAGCCACTAGTACACTATAAATAGAGAGCAAACCCTATTCCAGGGGTGGGCAACTATGGCCCTTTTATGACTTGTGGCCTTCAACTCCCAGAATTCCTGAGCCAGCCATGTTAGCTCAGGAATTCTGGGAATTGAAGTCCACAAGTCATAAAAGGGCCATAGTTGCCCACCTCTGCCCTATTCCTTTCTAGCATTGAAGGTATTACCTGGTTGGGTAATGAAACGTCTACAAGAAAACTACCAAGCTCAGAGAGCACCAAGGACTCCCACAGCTGCATCACCGAACTGGATAATTGCACTGCAAAGCTTATTTTGTATGGTAATAGGCGTGAGTTAGGAACAAGCCCCAATTTGTTTTAGGCAAGAATATTATATTTTTGAAGGTAAAAATAATCTGTGACTCTGTACCTGTGCAACTAGCTGATCCTCCAATTATCACACAACCTTTAAAAATACTAGTAAGGGAAAGATGAAGAATAGTGTGGGGACACCATCAATTCTGACGTTCTGGCTATGTATTCACCGGAAACTAAATATATTAGTTGATTCTTCAATCCAAGCTGATGGGTCTCCTTAAATAAGTGGGAGTGCCAAACCTACTGAAGATGGGACTTCTGGTGCAATGGGTGAGAGAAAGGATCCAACACCCACTACCCAAGGACCCAATGGCTCAAACCAGAATTGGAATGGGATGACCTCAGATTGAGAAATGGATGGCAAACTGACCTGGGGAATGCTGGGAAGTTGCAAGTGAGGTCATGGAATTTGAAAGGTTCAGGTTTGCAGTGATGCTGAGCTGGCTCTGCACTGCAGGAGGGTAAGGAGATGTTGGGGTTAGAAGGGACTCTTCACTGATTTCCTCATCCATTCCAGGCAAGTAGGTATCGATCAAGGCGTCAAGGAACTTCACAATCAGCTCAGCATAGTCGGGTATTTGACTTTGCTAGAAGAAAATGAAAAAAGAATGAACTTCCTATTTCTTGTTTGTTCTTTTGCTTTTGGTGGTGTCCTTGGTGGTTTCTGAGCTTTTTTTTTTTTTTTTCCTTGCAGATGTTTCGTTACCCAACTAGGTAACATAATCAGTGCTGGAAGAGAGTGGCTTCTGTTCTCTGTTTATGCATAAGTAGCCTGCCCTGTTGATATGGGTGAGAATTGTCTTGGTGCCTCCTTGGTTAGTCTGTTGGCTCAAGGAACCACCAAGAAAACTTCCACCAACTAACAGGATAAGCCACTAGAACAGTGGTTCTCAACCTTCCTAATGCTGCGACCCTTTAATACAGTTCCTCATGTTGTGGTGACCCCCAACAATAAAATTATTCCTAAAATCATTGAAAATATGTGTTTTCCGATGGTCTTAGGTGACCCCTGTGAAAGGGTCATTCGACCCCCAAAGGGGTCCCGATCCACAGGTTGAGAACCACTGCACTAGAATATAAACTCTCCTCCCTTCTAAAACTGATGATGTTACCTAGTTGGATAGTGAAACCTGTACAAGAAAACATCCAAGTTCAGAGACCACTAAGGACCCCATAAGTTCAACGTTGAGCTACAAATATTTTTCTTTTATCAGAATCATTCCCTCCCCCCCTTTATCTTAATCAATGGATCCCACACTTCCCAAGAGGTCTTCTCCAACTGGGACAACTCCTTTTACCCCTTGCCAACGTCAAAGGACTCCAGATCTAAGGCCAAATCTCCTCCAGCTAAAGGAACAAATGGTCAGCCAGAAACTACATGCTCTGAATCAAGCTCTTTGAAAAAAGTCAACTGGACTGCACGTGGTTACGTTCTTAATTATTTGACTTTTCCACAAAATAGGGAGAAAAAAACCAACGTTCAACTACTTTTTATATATTTCTGATGGTACCTATGTCAGTTTTTTAGGCTACCAAAACTTCATGTGTTATGAAATATATAATTGGACTTCAGGTGCATAGGTCATAATGGATAGAACCTCTCAGTTAAAATAAGATTTTTTAAAAAATAGGAATATGATTACCTAACACCACCCACTTCAGAAATCAGGTTTCTTTGTTTCTACCAAGTCAGAGTCAATCTGAGGTTGTGTCCATCCAATGTCACCTTGGTAGCAAAATAATTTCTAATATAGCATGTTAAGCTAATGGTTCATGGCTCAGTAATTCTAGATGGCTGTTAAGGAGAGTCCTCTGGAGAAAGGGGTGCTTGGGTTTCAGCTGTGACTAGATATTTGTCATCTGGCATAACAAGGGGCCAAGAAAAGGAAAGAGAGAGAGGCCTGCCATTATGATGGGTGAACGAGGACCAGCAAGGCAAAGCATGGCACGATGGACTGGACCTAGATGAAGAATAGACTGCCTAGCAATGCTTGAGGCATCCATTGTGACTTGACCTACAATATTTGGAGCTGGGGTAAAATGCTATTGGTTTCGGCCGGTTCGCTAGAACCGGAAGTAAAACATTCTACTGGTTCGCCATTTCGCATGTGGCCCCACTGCAAATCGTTAGTAAAGGTTAGTAGAACCCACCCCTGATGCCCATGGTCAAAATTCACAATATATGAACATGATATATGATATCATATGATATATATGACTATAAAATATTTCAAGGCTGAAAACTTCCAAATCAGAAACATCCATTGCAAGATCAGAACAGCTAGTTGGCCCCCCTCCTCACCCCCCCCCCGGTCCCCAGAACTGCTCTGAGATTAGGTTTTTTCTAGTGACTACTGATAATTTCCTTATTAACCTCCAGTGGGACTCGCCCTTTCACATCCACTCTGATTTTACCAAGACCACCATGTGGCATTCAGTCTGAAAGAAGCCCAAATCACTCACCTTAGAAAATGGTCCTGCAAACCTCCACAAACCGTTAAATCCAAAACCTGGAAATCAACAGCAGCAGCAACAGAGAGAAAGTAGTTTTATTAGGAAAATGATGAGAGAAATCTAACTGCCACATAATCCGCAATCATTCCTTCTTATTCTTTAGTTGAAGCCTGGTCTACATATCCTGATTACCATATTTTTTGGAGTATAAGACGCACCGGAGTATAAGGCGCACCTTAGTTTTTGGGAAGGAAAATAGGGGGGGGGGAATTCAGTCTACCAGGAAAGCAAAGCTGGCTAGGGAATTCTGGGAGTTGAAGTCCGCCAGGCTTAAAGTTGCCAAGGTTGGAGACCCCTGATACAGATGATGGATTCCAATTCTCAGTGGGGGAATACAAAGCCTTTTCAAGAGGTGACTCTCTGGCCTTCAGTGAAAGGGAGCCCAGAAGCTCCTAGGATCAGGCATTCCACTACTGTATCAAACTTCCTTCCCCTTCTCAAAAGTGCTGTTGGTCCAAATGGAGAATGAAAAAATCCATCCCTCAAAGAAGCCTTTTGGTGTTTTATTACAAGTCACTTTACTATACAGTTTTCTTTTGAAAGGTAGCCCAAGGTACCTATGAAAGAGATTTTTTAAAAATACAGTTTTAAATGTTTAAATTTTATTTATTAAGTTTATATGCCACCCAACAAGGGGTGGGCTTCAAAAATTTTGAAGGGGTTCTCTGCCCGGTTGTTGGGTGGGTGTGGCCATGGTGGGTGTGACCTAGTCGGCCTCCTGCACTACGGTGGGGGGAGCATTTTTGCCCTCCCCAGGCTCTGGAGGCTTTTCTTGAGCCCCCAGGAGGGTGAAAATGGCCTCCCCAGGCTCCGGAGGCTGGAAACTTCCCATACTTCCAGTAGGCCTGTTTTTCTCCCTCCCCGAGCCTCCATGCACGCCCTGCACTTACCTGCATCCAAAACAGGCCGCGTGGGGACTCCTGGGAGGGGTGGGGTGGGTGGGGCCAGCCAGAACTGGGATTTGGGGGTTTTCCGAACTGCACAGAATCTTAGCTAGAGGTTCTCCTGAACCCCTGTGAACCCCCAGCAGCCCACCCCTGCACCCAACTCACTGTTTTGAGTGACTCTAGGCCTCAAAATCACAACAATATTTCTCAACGTTGGCCACTTCAAGATGTGTGGAGTTCAACTCCCAGAATTCCTTGGCCAGCTTTGCTGGCTGGAGAATTCTGGAAGTTGAAGTCTACACATTTGAAACTGGCCAAGGTTGAGAAACACTGGCTTACATGCTATAAAGAACAAATATTGGAAGGAATACCTAAAATAGTCTTATATAATCTATATCTCAGCAGACCTTTCCCTTCCCCCCCCCCGCCCCGCCCAGTTCTTTAAGGAGTTGTAAGATACATACTCTGCAGATAAGACGTCTGGTACTGCGGCGGAGATTCTTCATGGTAAACCACACTCTGAACAATCCCATGAATGGGATTCAATAAATTTGGATCCTGACATTGCGATAAGAGAGTATTTATCTTGAAGTCCAATAAATTGTGCCTAGACAACAAAATATACGCAATGTGTGATCAGATTATCTCCTTCAGGTTTTTACTGCAGCAAATAATTGGGTTTTCAAGGGTGTTTATCCAGCAAAGTTTTTATAACAATATAGAAATGAGTATTGACATAAAAATGGTTGTGAAAGTCAATTATTCTTGCCAGGGAATTTCATTTCCAGTGCTAGTTAGACAACTCCATCAAACCTTTTAAGCCCTGCACCAAAGTACAATCACTAAAATTCTAGGGTGCAGGTGTAGGTAGATAAACCCACAATAATCATATTCATCTCCAAAGCCAGCTCTATTTTTTTTAATCTATAATCCCAACAGCTATACTATACTGTTCTTGGAAACTGCATGACAAATTTGGATGGGTTTTTGGAGGATCCCACAATTGTTGGGCTGGGGGAATTCTGGTAATTGAAGTCCACCCATGGCCTGAAATGACTAAAGTTGAAAAATGCTGTTCTAAAAGGCTGTTTCAGGCATCACACAATTTAAAACTTGAGCAAGTTTGCAGGGACTCCTGTAATATTTATGTCCTACCAAATATATATATACTGTACATCACATTCTTTTCTTTCTGCCTGCACAATTTCAAGTGAATTCCTCCAGAGCCAGGGAGACTTCAAAAATCACATCTCGCAGATTATTTTTTTGGCAAGGAAATTACTTCCTTTGAAAAACCCAACACTTACACAACAGGAAAGACCTTTGGGAAAACCACACTGGCTTCTGCTAAATACTCGTACAGGATTCGCTGGTCAAACTCATCTGCTGTGTACTTCACTAACGTTGCCTGTCCAAAGACAAAAGTGGGAGAGGGAAGAGAAGAAAGGAGAAACATCAGCTTGCAATTTCTAATCAGCTATTAAGATTAAATCAACTATAGTTGCAGATAGAAGATAGTCAAAACGGGCAGCTCTTAGATCACACAGACACAGAACATACGGTAGAATGATAAGAGGTGGAAGGAAACTCAGAGATCTTCTAGTCAAACCCCGTTTAAGGCAAGAGACCTTATACCAGTGATGGCGAACCTTTTCGGCACCAAGTGTTGAAAAGGGAGCACTTCGCGTGCATGCTTGTCAGGGCCGTGACCAGGAAGAGGAGCTGCCCAGGAGGCATGTGCGTACCAGCTAAGGTACTTCTGGTTTCCGGCGTGCGCATGCGCGCCAGCCAGCAAGTCTTCTGGCTACCGCCATACATGCGCACATGCTCATCGGATGGCCGGTGCGCATGCTCACGCCAGAAAACAGAAGACCAGCTCTTCCGGTTTCCAGCACTGCCGCACGCACAAAGGCCAGCTGATCATTGTGTGTGCATGCGCGCCAGAAACTCGGAAGAGGAACGGGTGATGCCACGCGTGCTAGGTGACATGGCTCCGTGTGCCACTTCGGGCACACGTGCCATTGTTTCGCCATCACGGTCTTAGACCATCCAGGGGAAATAGTTGTCGACGCTATTTTTGAAAACCTCCAGTGATGGAGCACCCACAAGCTATGCCATTGATTCCTTGTTTTCACTGTCAAGAAATTTCTCCTTACTTCTAGGTTGGACCTCTCTTTAACCAGCTTCCACCTGTTACTTCTTGTCCTGCCCTCTGGTGCTTTGGAGAATAGATCAATCCCCTCTTCTATGTGACAGCCCCTCAAGTATTGGAAGACAAGACAATCATGTTCCCCCAAATCCTTCTCTTCAAGAGGCTAGATGTATCTAGTTTCCTCAACCATTCATCACATGATTTAGCCTTCAGACCCTTTATCATTCTCTGTTGCTCTTCTCTGCACACTTTCTAGAGCCGGGGTGTCAAACTTGATTTCATTGAGGGATGTATCAGGGTTGTGTTTGACCTTGGGGGCCTGGGGTGGGCGTGGCCAGGGTGGGCGTGGCCAGCTTGATGTCACTTGTGGTGAGGGCACCTGTGGTGGCCCAAGCACTCTGCCAGAGAAAACGGGTTCCCAAGTTCCGTTTTTGGCTGCGACGGCCTCCTGCAACCCTCTGCCAGCAAAAACAGAGCTCGGGAGGGCCGCACATGGCTCTGTTTTCACTGGCAGAGCCACCATTGGCCGGTTCTTCTCTGTTTCCAGGGCGACCCTGCGGGTCAGATCTAAGCATCCCGTGGGCCGGATCCTTGAGTTTGACACCCTGTTCTAGAGCATCTTTTTTGTATTGTATACATATGCCATCCTAACATGTTTTGCTCCTCAGGCTACCCTGTTTTGTGCAGAAATGCTTGATCAGGATTTGTGTACTTTCCTTTCCGTAAGTTCCCAAAGTAAGGACTTTCTGGAACAGGTCTCCTTAGGAAAGGGACGTCCAACCATTGCAGTTGTTATTTTTCAAGCAATATTTCCAGGAGGGATCATCATGTGACCTGGATTATATACTTACAAGGACAGTCAGCAGCAGAGCTTGGATTTTGGGATCAGTGAGGACTTCCTCATCTAGGAGGACATTAGACTCGGATACAGATACTTTACGGAGATGGGGATGCTGTTGGGGTGATATCCTTTGTGTTTCTGCAGGAAGGAACCCATGGGTTATAACCAGCGATAGCAAGAATAGACAACAGCGCTAATGTTCTAGGTCAAGGGTTTTCAACCTTGGCAACTTTATGCCTTGTGGACTTCAACTCCTAGAATTCCTCAGCAGCACATTCTGGCTGAGGAATTCTGGGAGTTGAAGTCCACAAGGCATAAAGTTGCCAAGGTTGGAGACCCCTGTTCTAAGTAATGCTCTCTCAATAACTATGAGACACACTGAAGTTTCGAATGAAAGAGTTGGGGAGACCGCTGAGGATTCAGGTCCAATCTTATCTCAACCATGGAACAACTCTGTAGCTCAGACCAACAGTCATTGCTGTAACCAGACTGGCAAAAGGCCCATTTGTCTGCGAGTGTCTTTCACACAGTTTTACTTATTTGTTAAATTTATTTGTCACCTCTCTTGCCATGGAGCTTCTCTAGGCAGCTTACAACAAAAAGGAAGTAAGATAACAGAACAATAAAATAAACAATGCTGACATCTCATAACATGCAAGTGCTTTTATTCTCATTTAAGCATTTCGATTAGTAGGGCCTGGTGGCTCAGCAGACTAAAAGCACTGTAATTTAACACCAGCTGTCTGCAATTACTGTAAGTTTGAATCTCACCAGGCTCAAGGTTGACTCAGCCTTCCATCCTTTCTAAGGTAGGTTAAATGAGGACCCAGTTTGTGGGGGCAATAAGCTGACTTTGTATAAATATATACAAAAGTATGAATGCTATTGCTTAACGCATTGTAAGCCGCCCTGAGTCTCTGGAGAAAGGTGGCATATAAATCGAATTAAAAAAAAAAAAAAAGAAAGTGAGATCTATTTTATACTTCTCTAAGGTCTCTGATTTTAGGCAGAAGCCAATGAACAATTTCTACTTCAAGGTTCTCTCTCATGAAACGGGAGGAAGAAATTCTCCAGTGTACCTTTAAAATCTTTTCAGAGGGTGCTATGCAGGGCAGATACTGTTGTGACCCAGGCCCAAGTAGGTAGTATTAGACGCAAACAGTTCCAAAACAGACTATATTAGAACAGCTGAGAATTAACTCATTCTCAGCGTAGTCCAAACTAAATTAAACCAAATTCTTTTTAACACAAATTCTTCAGTCTAATCACCAACCTTGGTATAATTAGGCAAACTGCCAAAGGCTTTTCTTGGCAGCAGTTCAGGAACAGAAGATGCTGACAAGAAAGAAATACATCCAAACACGAAGCAAATCTCTCAACAGCTGTTTGAGAGGCCAAGAGCCATTGCTGGTCTTTTAAACCTTATGGGAGGGGCCAATAATCTCTTGGCCCTACTCCCCAGTTGTTCTCTTTGCTGTAGCTACTCTTGCCTTCTGGCAGCTCTTCTCATATGTGCACTAGGGACAGGCTCCTCCTGTTCCTCTGCCTCTCTGCTGTCAGCCTCTGGACGCTCCAAAGTCCGCTCATCACTCCCCAATGGCCCTGGCCCCATCTCTGCCTCCGACGCAGAGCCCTCATCCAGGCCTTCCCCAGCCTCCAGGACTGGCCCCTGTTCTACCTCAACCTCATCACTGTCCGACTCCACTGCCTGCTCCTCAGGCTGCTGGCGGACCACAACAGATTCGGGTGTGAGATCCACTACACAAATTAATTCCAACCTTGGGAACTTTGCTATATTGTGGATTTGTTTGTATTGGCAGATTTTATTGTATTCTAGCATACCACGTGAGCAACAGCAAAATAAATAATTGTATAAGGCATTCAATTAAATATACGCAGCAATTAGCTCTTCAGCCATTCTGCTTGAAGTCTTACCCATTTCATAATCATTTTCTGCTACTCTCCTCATTTTTGGAGGTGTGGTGATCCCGGATTCAATTTCTTGTCTTTTAGGGGCTTTTGTGTCCGACACTAAGTGGTCAAAACTTTTTCGGGTACCTATCAAAAAATTGAAACCAGTTAAACTTGTTTGCTCCTATATGCCACTCCTGTGCAGTCCTTGGTGTTATCTGAGCTTGGTTGTATCCTTGTGGACGTTTCATTACCCAACTACATAGGTAACACCATCAGTGGACACCAAGCACAGAGAGGACTAAGGACTCCACAGTTCAACCTTGAACTACATATGTTCTCTTCTATTGGAATCCACTTTGCAACCTGGATAAACAGCGATTGCAAATAATAATTTGTGGTTCAAAGAATACTGGCAAGAAATTAAGCAGGGTTTCCTTTTTCAGCGACAGCAGGATCCATGGGCTGCGAAGTGGCAGCCTGTGGAACTGAAGGGTTAATGTAGGGAATATGAGATAACACGATTTTAAGATTCCATCAATGTTCCACCCCCTCTAATTAATACAGGTAGTCCTCGACTTACAACCGTTCATTTCACAACGGTTCAATGTTACAATGGCCTTGGAAAAAGTGATCTAATGACCTGAATTTGCACTTACGACCGTCGCACCACCCCACAGTCACTTGATCGCAAGTTGGGCGCTTGGCAACTGGCTCGCATTTATGACTGGTTGCAGCGCCCTGCGGTCATGTGATTGTGATTTGCGACCTTTTTTGCCGATTTCCAGCCAAAAAAAAAAAAAAAAAAAAAGCCAGTTGGGGAAGCTGGATTTGTTAATGATTATGTGACAAACATAATCTCCGTGGTGATTCACTTAACCAAACTGCCGTAAAAACTGTCGTAAAATCGGGTCCAACTCAATTTACGACCGCAACAACTTACAACGGGAATTCCGGTCCCAATTGTGGTCGTAAGTCGAGGAATACCTGTACAGAAAACAAAAGGTATATTTGATGAGAACGTCTAAAGCAAGTTTGCAAATAGGCCTTTGTCTGTTCTGGTCGTGTTAATGCCTGGCCAAAATCTTTGTGGTTAAAAGAAGATTTGACACACCCAACCAACCTAGCAGCTTTTTAGTGTTGGCTTGAGAAGGCTGTCCCATATCCAGGCTCATGGATTTCCTTGTGCGGGGACTGATCTGCCCAACAGTTGGGTAACTAGCAGCAAGATGTCTGTCAGAGTTCTTGGGAGAAGACCAGGGCTGGTTTTCTCTTAGTGTCCTAAAGAAAAAAAAGAAAGTAGTCATATCTATATCTATATCATCTCTCTCTCTCTTCATCTGTCTGTCTGTCTGTCTGTCTGTCTGTCTGTCTGTCTGTCTCTCTCTCTCTCTCTCTCTCTCTCTCTATCTATCAGCACAGCCAGACATTAGACAGACAACATGATGGCACAAGATGGCACCCATGCAGTACCTTACATCTAGCGCTTTGGCTCTCTCTTGCTTTGGCCCGAACGTGGGAAGAGAGATGATTCAAAGCCACAATGGATCTGAGCATTTCACCAAGACATAACTGGAACAAATACATTGATGCTATGGACTTAATGATGCCATCATACAAGTGATGCTAATGATGGAGTTCATCATTTGCTTGATGATATCATGACACATGTCACATCGTTTATACTCTCTTTCACCTCAGCAGATGCCCAGGTTCTACTACTGCTGCTTTATTCTCTATTCTACTAGACTCCCTCAGAAGGAGAGATGAGATAAGTAATGATGCAGTTTATTTGGGGCCTAGACAATGAATGAATGTCAGTGAAGAAAACATTCCTTGCTTTAAGGTAATCTGAAAGCAGTTTGTTGAACATTTATTCAGTGAAACTATGAATTAAAGTGATGTGTCATGTTATGAATGGTTTGTTCAGGACAAGCTTCTAACCTTCAAGGAGAAGGAATTCAGAAAGATACAAAGCAAGGCTCTGTCTGTCTCAGAGTATGATTCTGACTTGTTCAAACAAACAGCAACTTCGCACAATAGCTGTTTACACATGAATCGCTAAACCACAAACTAGTCAACCTACATCTTACCAGTATATGAATATCCAGACTTTCTGATTCTGCGACTGGGGTTACACAATATGGAGACTGTAGAGTTCTTGGTGTTTGCTTGCAACTGTTTTATTACCCAGCTAGGTGGCATCAGCAGCAGCAGCAGAACTGATGATATTACCTAGTTGGGTCATGAAAGGTCTGCAAGCCAACAACCAAGCTCAGAGACTACCAAGAAGCACCAATTCAACTCCAAACTATAGATATTCTCTTCTATTGAAACATGTAGATTAATAGAATGAAGTAGAATAATTTATGGTTTAGCATATTATGAGAAACCAATCAGATTACTGTGTGAACCAGGCTCTCATCCATAATTTATTTCAGCAGAGCATGTCTTGTAAATACAGCCATTAGGTTACGTTAAAAGTATTGTGTAAACTCAACCCAGGAAACGGAATTCAGTTACCCTGGTTAAACTAACTATGATTTAGCATATTGTCTGAACACCTTGGTAGTACAGTGGTCTAAAGCACCCTGTTATTAAGACCAGCTGCCTGCAATTACTGCAGGTTTGAATCTCGCCAGGCTCAAGGTTGACTCAGCCTTCCATCCTTTCTAAGGTAGGTAAAATAAGGACCTAGATTGTGTGGGCAATAAGCTGACTTTGTATAAATATACAAAAGGATGAAGGCTATTGCTTAGCGCATTGTAAGCCGCCCTGAGTCTCCGGAGAAGGGCGGCATATAAATCAAATTAAAAACAAACAAACAAAAACAAAACAAAACACAGCAAGCATATATGAATCTAGCTAGTGAAATACCATGCTCGAGTCTTCCAGGGTCAAGTCCTTTACAGCCATTTTATTCTCCCAGAATAATTTTAGTTGCAAGTAATTTTGTCTTTTACCTCCCCATTTCCCCCCCCCCGTGCCATAAATCATTTAGCCATAAATTATAAAATGTAATTTACAAAAACAAACAATTGTTCTCCTGTCTGGAGAGTAACATGTGGGTTGAAGTGTCTTTCCTTCTTAAATGTCATTTTGCACCGAAGAAACCGCATCAAGGGACAGATGTCTGTGTTTAACACACAATTCTATTAAGATAGGATATTACAGAGGTGTCCATATCCTCTAATAAAGTTTTCAAAACTCCACTGACCTACAACTGGCTTCATTGTGGTGTATGGGATATGTCTCCATAGGAACGTTTTCCATTGAAATATCCGTCAAGAGGAGCGATTTCCTATGCTTTAAGCTGCATCGGCTCCTAACTTCCTCGGACATGGTTAGCAGAGCTGAACAGACAAAAAAGGAAGCACAAGAAATGTTCAAAGGATATTTGGCATATTTCACATTCTTCTTCCAAACAGCAGAGACAGCATTCTTCTTCTAGTATTTAGTGAAAACTCACTATCAACTATGGCAGGGGTCTCCAACTGTGGCAACTTTAAGACTTGTGGACTTCAACTCCCAGAGAAGAAGAAATAAAAATAAAATTCGAGGGCGCCACTGCACTGCCAATTCTCCACTGTGACAAAGTTCTAAGATCCTAAAGCATGACATGACTCTTGTTAAATCCTCAACAAAAGATCCCCCCCCCACAACATTTTTATAAATGCCTTTACATCTTGGCAAACTCTCCAAATGATTTTGGCAATCTGACTCTGGGTTCCCATGTGATGACAATGCCTACATTTAGAACCTCAAAGGAATACTGAAATCTCACAAGAGTTGGCTACTTCATAATATTTCAGTCTGTATTTTTATATCATTATTTCAATGGAGGGGTGCAGATACTGTTTTAGGGTCACTGGGTGCTGTGATGATGACTCTCGTCTTAAATGAAAAGGCTTGTAGACCTAAATGGGTATGGGTAGTTCTTGACTTAATGACACAATTGAGGCCAAAATTTCTGTTGCTAAGCGAGACAGTTGTTAAGTGAATTTTGCCCCATTTTACAACCTTTCTTGGCCCAGTTGTTAAGTGAATCACTGCAGTTGTGAAGTTAGTAACACGGTTGTGAAATGAATCTGGCTTCCTCATTGATTTTACTGGTCGGAAGGTCGTAAAAAGTGATCAGATGACCCTGGGACTCTGCAACTGTCATAAATATGAATTGGTTGCCAAACATCTGATTTTTGATCACGTGACCATGGGGCAGCTGGAAGTTGAAGTCCACCTACCTTAAAGTTGCCAAGACTGAGAACCTTGCAATATAGTGAAAATATTCAAAGAGGGTCTCTAAGTTATTATAGCTAGGAATGGGGAGATCGAGTAAGGGTTGAGATCAATAGCTTTTCCATTTTAGGCAGTTATTACTATTATACGTAGACTGGCTCCCTCCTTTTGGCAGCTCACATTTTGTTATGAATTGAGAGGGATGCTTTCAACGCTGTGTATTACCCAGATTGGGTTGGACTGGATTGGATACAAACCTCATAGATTTGGGGTTTTTACCTGCAAGGTAAGCCACACTCTGGGTATTCACCTCAAACTTATCACAGTTCCTATGTTTGTTAACCAGAGCGAGGAGTGTGTGCAGAATCCTTACTGTTCTTGCTACTATGGTCGGAGATGGATGCCGGTAACCTAGTGAAATAAACAGTGTGTTAAACAATCAGGTATCTGCAAAGAAAGAAAAGCGTCAGTTGAAAAGTGGGAAAATGTCTTAAAGAGATGGTGCATAAACTTAAATGGACACTCAGAAACTGGGATGGGAGTTGAACAGGTTTACCCATGCAGTGAAAAATGGACTTGAGTAACCTGAAGGGCACGTTGCTAATTGTCATAACCAAAAGGAATAAGCATTGATTGTGCAAAATTGGCAATACTAACCACTAATTTTTAGTGGTCTCCAAAGTTAGTGTGAGTCTCCGGAAAGACAGCAAACATGTAGTTACTGCAAGTAATCAAGCTTTAGAATCTGGGTTTCTGGAGGGAAAAAGTTGGAGAGTTGGATAGCATATAAATACAGGTAGTCCTTGATTTAAAACAGTTCATTTAGTGACCAAAGTTACAATGGCACTGAAAAAAGTGACTTATGACTGTTTTTCACACGACCTTTGTAGCATCCCTTTGATCATTGATGTGTCCCAAGGTCATGGGATCATCTTTTGCAATCTTTTGATAAGCAAAGTCAATGGGGATGCCAGCTTCATTTAATGACCATGTTACTAATTTATCAACTGTGGTGATTCACTTAACAGCTGTGGCAAGAAAGGTCGTAAAATGGGGCAAAACTCACTTAACAAATGTTTCACTTAATAACAGAAATGTTGGGCCCAATTGTGGTCATAAATCGAGGACTACCTGTAAATAAAATGCTATGCATTTTTGAGGCTTTTGCACAAAAGGAAGAAGGGTTGTTGACCCGAATTTAAAGTCCCAAGTTGTAATGAAGGGAAACTGAATTAATTGTGTTGTTGCTTGTCAGGGGGTATGTCACATCAATCCCAAGAGAATGCGAGGCCACTACACTACAAGATGGGAAAACCAGAATGATTTCTAAGTGCAATTCCTCCTTGAAAGCAGAAAATTAGCAGTTTAGAGGGAAAAAGTCCACTCTAGCCAGTATCTTGTGATGCTACTTCTTTATTTACATTTACATATATTTTTTCACTAATTTGTTTTTCTATATGTAATCTGAAAGAGTGAGGACTAGATTTGATACACTGGTTAAGGCATCAGGCTAGAAACTGGGAGGCTGTGAGTTCTAGTCCCGCTTTAAGCACAAAGTCAGCTGGCTGATCTTGGCCAGTCACTCTCTGTTGGCCCTAGGAAAGAGGCGATGGCAAACCACTTCTGAAAAACCTTGCCAAGAACACTGCAAGGACTTGCTGAGGCAGTCTTTGAGAATCGGACACGATTGAATGCAAGAAAAAAAAATCTGAAAGAGAACAATCTATTCTACCATCTTGAATTCTAAAGCAAGGCACAAGGAGGAGAAAAGTGGGCAACCACTTTGGCCTCTAACGCATAGCAACAATTTCCCTTTGTAATCCAGAAACAACTGTTGAACAATAAACAGCTCTCCCCTTTGCACAAATGACCCAAGTCTCAAACCAGGGCTTTTGTCTGTGAAAACTGTGTCTTTTCCTGAAGTGCATCTCAGTTTCTATCACAAAAGTTCCTTTCAGCCTATTAATTCTAGGGGTGTTTTTTTTCTCTCTTTCCCTCTCCAGCCTCTCTCTTCAGTATCTTCTGTTCCCCTTTGAGGAACACTAAAGTGCTCTAGGGTCCTCTTCTGAGGCAATTCATAGGCACAGTATACAGAATTCCTACCACAAACAATGCTGTTGTGTACAGTTGACAGGGCCTGACAGCAAGAAAATTAAACCACCGCATTGCCTTCCTACCTTTTAGCAGATGTCCCACAAGTGCAAAGTTGAAGTTGGAGTTGAAATTGAGTCCCACAAAATGGTCCATCTGCTTACAGTGCCACTCTAGAGGCCTCCTGATCTCCATGAAGACTTCCTCGGGGCTCTGTCCGGGAAGAGGCCAACGTACAGGCATCAGACATTCAAGTCAGAAAAAGACCCACGCTTCATCTCGATTCATTCCAGGTAGGTCACTCATCAAGCAACTCATAAGAAGAAAATATTTGTAGCCCAGGTCTAAACTGTGGAGATCTTGGTGTTCTCTGAGCTTGGTTGTTTGCGTACAGGTATTTCATTACTCAACATCATCAGCGGACACCAAGCAGAGAGAGAACCAAGGATTCCACAGTTCAGCTCTGAGCTATTTAGGTTCTCTCTCTCTCTCTTTTTTTTTAAAATTTAATTTATATGCCGCCCTTCTCCGGAGACTCAGGGCGGCTTACAATGCGCTAAGTCTTCCTGTGGAATCCACTCTGTATCCGGAATAAACAAGGATTGCAAATAACAGTTTGGGATTCAAAAAACACAAGTAATTGCCATATTTTTCAGACTATAATTTAATTTAATTTAATTTAATTAATTAAATTTATATGCCGCCCCTCTCCGAAGACTCAGGGCGGCTCACAATACATTTAAAAAATCATTATAAAAAGACATTGAAAAATTAAAAAAATTAAAAACATTATAAGACGCACTGGAGTATAAGACGCACCAAGATTTTGAAGAGGTAAACAAGAAAAAAAAAACAATTTTGCCCTCCCCAGCCCCTAGGAACACTCTGCAGGCCTCCCAAACCCTCTGCGTGTCCCATTTTTGCAAAAAACAGGCCTGTTTTTCACAAAAACGGGGGCTACAGAGGGTTTGGGAGGCTTGCAGAGTGTTTCTGGGGGCTGGGGAGGACAACAACGTGACGTATTGGGAGGGGTTGGGAGGCCAAAAATGGGCCTGTTTTTCGCAAAAATGGGACGCGCAGGGCGTGGTTTCGAGAGGCCAAAAATGGCTGTATTCGGTGTATAAGACACACCAACATTTCTACCCTCTTTTAGTTGGGAGGGGAAGTGCGTCTTATACTCTGAAAAGTATGGTAAGTAGGGTTTCCTTTTTCAGCAGCACCCCTGGGCTGTGAAGTGTGAATGGAGGAGTACTTGGTGCTCTCTAAGCTTGGTTGTTTTCTTGCAGACACTTCATTACCCAACCAGTATTGGTGGGAGTGTTCTTGGTGGTTCCTGGAAAAGATTGTGTGAACATATCCACTATGTTTTATTTTATAAACCAGGGTTTAAAAAAACATAACAAGAACTTTTGAACAGTCTTTGGCTGGATTCACAGATAAGACCAAAATATTCTTAAAGTGTGGCTTTGTGTCTATGGAGATTCACAGTCATGCAGATCATGGTTGTCCCAAAGATGCTTTTTCAAGAGGCAACTGGACTTTCTGGTTTTTCTTTGAAGATGGAAGATGAAAATGAACACATTCCATTTGTTGCAAGAATATGTGAACAGTTCAGGAGGATTTTCAACTAACATAACATACATGTACACTTTCAAACCAAGAATACACTAAGGCAGAAGCTTGTCCACCCCAAGACACAAACTGAACAACGTGATATATGTAGTAGTACAATGCAGTGAGACATGTGCAAATCTGTGCATTGGGGAAACAAAACAACCACTTCACAAATGCATGGCAAAACGTAGGAGAACAAACCCATCAGGAGAAGATTCAACAGTCCATCTGCATTTAAAAGAAAAAAGCCACTCTTTTGAAAACAGCAAAGTCCACATTTTGGACCAGTGGTTTGAAAGAGAGGTCAAAGAGGTCATCTATGTCAAAATTAACAGCACTTTCTCAACACAGGGGTAGGGATACATACAACATCATCTATCTCCAGTCTACAACACAGCCCTTTCAGCAGTTCCAAGAAGGCTCCACACCCATTTGCACTACTCAGGTGACCCTGAGGACACAGATAAACCTCCAAGTGCGATCAATGGCTCTCTAAAAAAATGCAAATGACCAGTTGTCTGCAAGGAGTATAAATCCTTCCATTCCCCACCATCCAGTCAGAGCTGAAGAAGCTTCTTGGATGAGAAGCAAAACATCTTCAAAGAAAAACAAGAAAGTATAGTTGCCTCTTGAAAAAGCACTTTGGGATAAACTGTTGCTTGTTGAGCAAGACACGTTAGCCTTGGTAGTACATAAAAAGTGAGCTAAGGTGGTTGGAATTACATCTCACAAGAAATCAAAAGCAAACAAAGAACACAAGTTCTGATTTGAAGCAGTCTAAAAATACCTCTGGGGGAAAAAAACAGCATAAGGTGGGTGCGTCCAAGATCTATTTGTCTGTGCTTTTGTCTTCCATGTTCTATTTTAGTCTGCAGCTCTACTGGTCAATTTTAGCATGCATCACCTAATCTTATGACAGCGCTTGTAATACTGCTGGGATATTAAAAATAACCCTGGGCGCCGTAAAATTAAAATCTCATTTCTTGAAACTCAAACAACATTACAGTCTCAAAACTCAAGCTACTTTTCAACAAGGAAGAAGCTCACATTTTTTCAAAACTGATTCACCATTGGTGAAAAGATGACGCATATTACAACCACATTAAGAGAACATTCATGCTTTCTTTTGTTCTTTGTGTGTTCTGGGAAATGGTTTGCTTACTTTATCATTAAACACCCGGAGGTTGTCCAGAGTGTGTAGGTTCTGCTCAAGTAAAGCCGTCCCTGCGGAATACAGATTGACCTCGTCCAGCTGTAGAACTGCCATGGCCACCCAAAACAGTACCTTGTGCATAGGGGAGTCCTAAACAGAAAGAGGGGAATAAAATGACAGAACTGGAGCACATCATTTTGATAGAAGGGAATATTTGTAACTTAGGGTTGAACTGTGGGGTCCCTTGGTGCTCCCTGAGCTTGGTGGTTTTCTTGCAGACGTTTCGTTGCCACACTAAGTAACATCATTAGTGACGTAGTAATGAAACGTCTGGAAGAAAACCACCAAGCTCAGAGAGCTCCAAGGACCCCACAGCACATTTGTTCCGCTGGGAAAGATACTAAACAAAAAGTCACATATTTCTTGTGTCCAGAAAACTGGATGCATCTGGCACCCACACAATCTCCAGACTCCAAGGAACCATGGGTAAAAAACAAGGTAGGCTGGACATGGACACTTGACCCAGTCTGGATGGGATGATCATGAGGTGGCTTGACAGTTTTATTCTACAGGGACTTCAACTGATGACTGGTAGCTGCTGCTATCATTCTCTCATTCTTTGGGTTGGTGTTTCCATAAACAGCCTTCCAAATTTATACCCACAGCCAAAATAAACTGTTGAGATTTAGGCCATGCTAACAATGTACAGACATACTTAGAGAGAAAGACTAAGATCTGTACCACAGGTTCTATGAAAACAACAACTTTGGGCAGATGACTATATGAGCAGGTTGCCCCTTCATATTGCCCATGAAGCTGCGTCAGGCATATTTTTTTTTTAGGAAAATTGACATGGCTACCCAACTCACTCACGGTGACTCCAGAAGACCTCAAATACAAAACCCAGTAAACCCCCGTGTGACAACCATCAAACCAACCACCTGAGGGGCTCCGTATCACCCTGGGGTCCCCAAGCCTGCTGGCAGAACCATGTCTTCAAGGCCCTTGAAAGAATGTCAAGGTGGTCTTATCTTCACAGGGATGATGTTCCAAGAATTTCAAGGGAGGGAGCCGCCGGGGAGAAGGCCCTATTTCTTGGTCTCACTAGATAGGATTCCTTAAGAGAGGAACCACCCTACACTCTGCCTCCCACTCTTTTGTGTAGGGTAGTTGTAACTTCATGTCCATGGAGATTCTCAATCATCCTGGTCAAGAGTGCTTTGCCTTCACTGACATGTGAAGGCATTGTTCCAAAGATCCTTTTTTCCAAAAGGCAACTGGACTTCCTTGACTTTTTCTCTGAAAACATTGCGCTTCTCATCCAAGAAACCAAGAAGAGCCGAGGTGGCGCAGTGGTTAGAGTGCTGTACTGCAGCTACTTCAGCTGACTGCTAGTTCAGCAGATCAGCAGATCAAATCTCACCGGCTCAAGGTTGACTCAGCCTTCCATCCTTCCGAGGTGGGTAAAATGAGGACCCAGATTGTTGGGGGCAATATGCTATTTAGTATACTGTCGATTGTTGTAAGCCGCCCAGAGTCCTCGGAGAGTGGGCGGCATAGAAATATGATTAATAAAAGAAATAATAAAAGAAAGAAAGAAAGTCCAGTTGCCTTTTAGAAAACAAAACTTCCTTGGAATAAACCTTCCTTCTTCTCCTCCCACTTCTTCTTCTCTGAATGTGGCCAAATCAATCGCAAGTCAATGAAGGCAAAGACTCTATAAACAGAACTGGAAACTGTGGTTTGGACTGAATTGCTGAGAATCAGGAAGTGATGAAGAAACTGAAGGGAATGGGGGACTGAAGGGAACGGACAGACACAGCAAAGGGATACCTCTAATCCTTCAGGATCTCTAGTAATCTAATAAATCATTGGTTAAGATTTTCAAGATTTGCTAATGAGCAATAAGGAACAGGTTAAAACTATGGCTTCCAAACATCCCCTCACTTGGATCATTCTAACATTTATCCCGAACAATGGAGTCACCCTCTTTTCCTGCCCACAGGTGCAGGGGTGGGATTTAGCCGGTTCGGACCAGTTCGGGTGAATCGATAGTTGTGACCCAGCCGTCCTGGTGCTATGCCATCCTGTTTAGGGCGCGCTCACATTTTTGGTGCTGGGGCAAACCGGTTGTTAAATTATGTGAAGCCCACCTCTGCCACAGGGCCACACAGAACGAGCTGCTGGGGACCCTACCAGTTTACCTTATTGAGGAGTGGCTGGAGCTTAGTCAGGGCTATGACGGTGGCCTCTATCAGAACTTGGCTGTTGTAGTTGTCCGGCCCTTTCAAGCAGCTCTCCAGACCCTGTCATTGGTTAAAAAAAAAAATCAAAGTAATATCAGCTTGTTTACACTGATTTTTAATCCCTGCGGATGTGGGTTCTCCTTTCACATTATGGTCTTAGTTTCCTCGTGCCTCAGTCAATCACCGATGCCTCTGATAAAAGGAGTGTTTTTGTTTTTGCCTTGCTTTTCCTGGAACTGGAGCCATTAAGACTACAGAAGTTTCACTTTGCCTTCTACGTTCTCTAGCCTCTATTTTTATCTCCTTCTATGCTGATTGAAAAAAAAAAATGCTTTGCACTTCACTTCTGCCTTGATTCTTCTCCATGACACATTTCTTCCTAGTTAACCAAAAGCTCCAATTCCATGATGAGAAACCTTCATCCTCTTTTTTTAGTTTATCTGTTCTACCAATATATACCTGGCTAGCACATTCCCACTTGTGTACAGCTGAAGCATTAAGCTCAAGGAATGAAAAAGCATTACGAGTGGAACCAAATAAAACAGGGGTCTCCAACCTTGGCAACTTTAAGCCTTGGCAACTTTCAATTCTGGGAGTTGAAGTCCACCGAGGCTTAAAGTTGCCAAGGTTGGAGACCCCTGAAATAAAACACAATTGGAAAAAAACAATCTCTCCCTCTCTCTGCATAAAATGAGGGAAAGATTTAATATTTTAGTATCTAGTGGTCTCTCTGGGTGTGCAGGTGAATGTATGAAATGAGATTTAGTACATGGTGTCGAAGATGACCAGCACTGGATATTTATTAAAAGTTCATTAGGTTTTACTTCCAACTGTGAGTTGATCTGATTACACAATTTACATTTGTGGGGCCCCAAACAGTTTCGTGGGATGCTATACAGATAGTCCTCAATTTATGACCACAATAGAGCCCCATGTTTGTTGCTCAGTGAGATATCTGTTAAGTGAGTTTTGCCCCATTTTACGACCTTTCCTGCCATTGTTGTTAAGTGAATCACTGCTGTTGTTAAGTTAGTAACACGGTTGTTGAGCGAATCTGCCTTCCCCATTGACTTTAGTGGTCAGAAGGTCACAAAAGGTCATCACGTGACCCTGGGACACTGCAACTGTCATCAATACGAGTCAGCTGCCAAGCGTCCAAATTTTGATCATGTGACCATGGAGACCCTGAACGGTTGTTAAGTATGAAAAATGGTCAGAAGGGTTTTTTTCAGTGTCATCGTACCTTCGAATAGTCATTAAATGAACTGTTGGGAGTTGAGGATTACCTGTACAAGAGGCAGCCTCAATGATCTGAGGAAAAGGCAGAGTTGCAGGAGACCAGCCTTCTCTATTATAGACTTGATCATTCCTTAACCTTTCTCACTGGCCCTTTATTATTTGAGTAGCAAAAGGCTAAGGTGACTGTGAGGAACACTCAGTGGTGAGATTCAAATAATTTAACAACCGGTTCTCTGCCCTAATGACCGGCTGGATGGGCATGGCCATGGTGGCCGTGCCCAGGGGGTGTGACAGACAGCACTCGGCCTCCTTCATCCCCTGGGAGCAAAAACAGGCCACTGGGAGGGACACGCACTGCCCCCCGTGCCCCGTTTTGGGCCTAGTAGGCCTGCCTGCAGCCTCCTGGTAGCGAAAACAGGCCACGGGAGGATAAATGCGTCCCTCGCCCAGTGGCCTGTTTTTGCTCCCAGGGGATGAAGGAGGCCGAGTGCTGCCCATGCTCTGTTTTGGGCCTAGTAGGTTTCCCTGCACTTACCTCGGAGCCAAAATGGGGTGCGTGGGGACTCCTGGAAGGGGCAGGGCAGGGAGGGGCCAGTCAGCAATTTAACTACCAGTTTGCCCAAATCAGCTGAATCCCACCACTGGGAACACTCCCTAAAACTGCATGTCCCTAAAAGTTTGCTTTGACTTCATCCTGATGCATTTATAATACTGCACTGACATTGCCTGGAGGACTGGAGCTGGGTTTCAGGGATAGGAGAGAGGCTTTTGGTCCAGTATAGTCTTGCATTATTATAAAAACCAGACTTTAAATGGTGCCATTCCATTTAATTTTCTACAATACAGCCTACTAAAATTTCTGGTTCTCAACAGAATTGGGGGGGGGGGACACCTGTTCCACTCAGTGTAAAATTCAGTACAATTGGTCCTCAACTTAAAAGCATTCGTTTAGCGATCAGTCAAAGTTATAATGGCACTGAAAAAAAATCAATTACAATCAGTCCTTGCACTTATGACTGTTGTCACATCCCCCAGTCATGTAATCAAAATTTGGTAACCGGCATGTATTTACGACGGTTGCAGCATATTGAGGTCACGTGACCACCATTTGGGACCTTCTAATCCAGCATTTGCCAAGCAAAGTCACTGGGGGAAGCTGGATTCATTTAACAACCACACGATTCACTTAACAACTACAATGATCTGTTTAACCATGGCAAAAAAAACCTCCACAAACCCTCATAAAATTGGGCGTGAACTGTCTTGCGTAATATTGGAAATTCTGGTCCCGACGGTGATCATAAATCAAGGGCTACCTGTATGCAAATGCAGGAGGAAGAAAAGAAAGTAAGTTACGGAAAGAACAAAACCGAAAGACACACCTTGCTCAGAATCCGGATGATTTGTTTTATCTGTCCATGTGACACCCGTTTGCTAATGCAACCGAAGACCACAAGGGCTCTTGGCTGGAGGGAGGGATTATACTGGAATGCAAACCTGTCAAGGAAGAAAGCCAGTAATTAAAAGCCTGCCGGAATAAAAACACCAATGAAAGTGCCTCAAACATAAAGTGGAAGTAATAAAGTAACCCAGGCAGAGTTTGTGGTTTAGGGCAACATAACCTACTTCTGAGCTAGTTCTGTCCACTGGTCAAGCCATTTGCAGGTTGGGATATCTCTCATGCACGCCTGCAGGAAAATCAAAAGGTCAGATGTTCTGATTATGTCGTATTAAAGCATTTACTCAACCGAAAGTGAGCATTTCTGGGACAGGGACAATTGTGGTTTTGTATTCACACACTCCAGGAACTGAAAAATAACACCCATCTTCTCTTTATTTATTTTTTCTGCTGGCAGCCTTAAACAATTCAAACAGTCCTCACTTAATGCCCATTCATTCAGAGACTGTTCAAAATTATAACTGCGTCAGAGGGACTTATGACCTGCGCCCAAAGTTACAACTGTTACAGCACCCCCCCACCCCCCACCGGTCACGTGATTGCGATTTGGGCACTGGGCAACCCGCCTGCACTTACGGTGGGTTGCCGAGTGCCTTTTGATCATGTGTGATCTCACACGTGCCACTTTCCCTGCTGGCTTCCCCAGAAAATGCCCCCCCCTCCCTGCGGAGGCCCTCCGGAGGCCAGAAACAACTCAGTTGCCAACTTCCAGAAGTTTGCAAATGGGCCGTTTTTGGCTTCTGGAGGGCCTCTGGGGGATGGGGAAGGCCGTTTCCGCCTTCCCCAGGCTCCTAGAGAGGCTCTGGAGCCTGGGGAGAGCAAAAACCAGGCCTACCAGGCCCACCGTGCCATCGTTTGCCAAAAGCGGGGGGAGTGCGGGGCGCGCGTGTGTGTGCACGCACAGGGGCGGGGCACATAGAATTATGGGTGTGTGACACACACACACCGTGCTCCCCCCGCTTTTGGCACGCGATGGCAAAAGGGTTAGCCATCACTGCTATAGGGGGTAGTGCTCATCCCCGTTTCGAGGGCCATTGAGACAGCACTGTCTAAAGATGTTTCCATGGTCACGTGGCCAGCATGATGTTGCAGAGCACTGCTACATTCCCACCAAAGTGGTACTTATTTATCTACTCGCATTTGCATGCTTTCAAATTGCTAGGTGGGCAGGAGCTAGGGTGAGGACAGGAGCTCATCCTGTGGCATGATACTCAAGTGTCTAATGCGGGCTGTCAGCTTTCCAGCCAATAAACCCAGCATCTTAACTGCTTAGCCATTGTGCCGCCTTCCCCAAGGAGACTGGGTGAAAAAGTCCCTCCTGAAATATTTCTAAACGAAACGTCTGCAACATGGAGTCTTTACAGCCAGTCCCCAGAAATGAGAGAATTGCCTCTTGCTATTAGGGGCCGGCACAAACACCCAATGGTGCAAATGTTCCATGCCAAAATTCTGCATGGACTTTGAGTCAGAGTTCCTTTCTGCCATGGAAGGGAGGGGAACTTCAGCGTTAGGCTGGAGAAGAGAAACCTGGATCATGAAGATCAGTCCAGCACTGCAGTTCCCTTCTGCACATGGAGGGGAACTGCTTGACCCACGTCTGCAGGCAGATATTTTGCTCCATCCACTTAACAATCCAAGTAGTCGCTGAATGACTGCAATGGGGAGAGCTGGGATTGCAGTTGTTGAGTGAGATGATCACCTGAGCATCTCACTTAATGACTGCAATGACTTATGACCTAATTGCTGAATTGTGTTGTCAGAGAGCACCAAGGACCCCTCAATTGTTCTCCTAAATTAAGGACTACCTGTACGTAACCGGTGAGTGTGGCTGTAGTCCATACTGTAGTCCATACTACTAGTTAAGTGTCTATTCTTAGACCCCCAGAGACAGAAAATAATTTACAGTTTCTACCCCCACCTCTCTTTCTCTTTTTCATACACATACACACAGACCCACGCACACTTTTACTTAGACATGCATACATAATAGACATCTATTTCAGCAAGAGGAAATGACAGTTGAATTTTAAGATAGGAAAACAGACTACATGGCGTTAGTGTGGGAAAGGCTGATTTTTGAACGCTCTACCACATGAAAACAATACCCTAATCCACGTTTATACATTCGGCATATGTATCAGGAAACAGTCTGGGCTAAATCCTTTTTCTTTATGTATATTTATTTTACTTTTGCAAGGAATTTGCTTAAAACCTTAAAAATATGATCCCTTTCCTGATGTGTAAAATCCATTCCACCACTTTATTCTGCTGTATACATGGACTAGATTGTGAGCTAGCGCAAGTTCTCAATCAGATTAATTTAATATTTTCTTTTTTTATTTCCTATCATAAAAACATTATACATGGGGGGAAAAAACCCATCTTAAAACATGTCAATGCAATCTTAACTCTGATCTGTGCTGTGTGTAAAATATGCCCTTGCCATAACCGATGTTCTAAAGGGCTACTTGAATTATTTACAAATTACATATTTTTTGCAACCCTAATATTTTACTCATGCTGGTACACTCGTATCGTGATGTCCTTGCCATACCTCCATAATTTCCAGCAATGCTTCTGTGACTGTTTCCAGAGATGTCAATGCGAATGTTTCTCTCTCATAGGACCCAGGAGAGAATGACCGGTCCCGATAGCTGGATCGGAATGCAATGACTGCTGCCGATTTCACTTTGCTAATTCCAAACAGCAAGTAGAATTTGGGAAGCGAGAACTCCGTTAAACTCAGCCTCAAAACCTGCTTCGTTTCCTCTGTTGGGGAAAAAAAAAAAAAGGAACAAAGACTTTGATTTCTGTTCCATCTTTGAAAATTGAAATGCTTCAAACTCTACAATGGATGAACGGCTGCAAAAGTGGATGGAGTTAGCAGAGATGGCCAAATTGCTTTGATCAAAGGAAAAAAACACAAGTACGTTTGTTTCTACTTGGAAACCGGTTCTGGACTTTGTGCTTGAGGTGGGGAGGGGGGAATGAAACTTTGATTTTGGGCTTTACTGATTAGGTAGATTTGTTGTAGAAATGGCTAGTTTATACTATTATGTAAAAGTAAAAAGTTGAGGTTTGATGTTACTGTCTTATTCTACTGCACCCAAAGGGAATTGGAAGTCAATGCCTTTTTTTCTTTTTTCTTTTCTTTTCTACATTTCTCCCTTCCCCTTTCCCTCCCCTTTCCCCCCCTACTATTTGCTTTTGCGTTTTTGTATTTTATATCATAAACTAATAAAAAAAGAAAACTGAAATGCTAACACAAACTTCTGGGAACTAGCTTATAGTAATGTCTATTCATGAAAGTTAACCCAATGTTCTTAGACTCTATATACAGACATTGTTCTGTGGGCCTTGGGAGTCACCCAAGCAGCCACTCCATCATCCAGACATGTAAACCCACGATGCACAAGCAAATTGCAAAGTTTGCATGACCACACATTCGGTACCATCGGTGGTGGAGCTATGGCGAGGCAAAACTCACTGGTTGTAAAGAGATGAACGCCTCTTCTTGTTATGTCAAATATCTAGCTCCTTGGGTGAACAGGGATACTGCACACAATGTATAATATAATGCTGAACATCATATATAATGCTGAGTATCATCAGCACATTGAAGATGCCTCTCCCCCAACTTCTGGAGGAGCTCTAGCAGTGGAGAAAAGAGGACCTCTGTGGGCTCCACATGAGAGCCATTACTGGCTTGATCGGTATCCTCCTTCCAAAACTGTAGTTATCCACCGAGGAAGGTACAGAACACACTATAACCGTGGTGGCGAACCTATGGCACGCATGCCAGACGTGGCATGCAGAGTTCTGTGGACATGCACACTGTCGCCAGCTACTCTTCTGGTTTCCGTCATGCACATGCGCGCTGGCTAGGTGGTTTTTGCGGGTGCCGGAAAACAGCCTGAAAACGACCAAAAACCAGGCCTTTTTCCGGGCCGTTTTTGGCTCCAAAAAAGTGGCCAAAAGCAGCCCGGAAAATGGCCTGAAAACGGCCCCAAAAATGGCTGGGAAACAGCCTACAAAACAGCCAAAAAACAGACATGTACGCACCAGCCAGCTGGTCTTCAAGTTACCAGTACTGCGGCGCGTGCACTTACATGCGTGTTCCGGTTTGGGCACTCGGTCCCGAAAAGGTTCGCCATCACTGCACTATAAGCACTACAGCCCCCAATTCTTGTAGGTAATCAATAATTCTGAAGGCCAAGGAGAGGCTCCCGAAGGAGGAGGATGTGTGTTCTACTCAGGTCCTAACAAAGATTCTCACCTCGCGCAACCAATGCTGTCTTGGTTCCATGTTCAAGCTGAAAACCAGACTTTTTTCATGTTTTTTAGGATGCAGCTGAATCCCACCCTTGATGACCTTCCTTATTTTGTTGTTGTTGAGGGGCCTTCCTCAAAGCAATGGGAAACCTGCTGTTTGGAAATGTTACATACCGTATTTTTCGCACTATAAGACGCACCGGACCATAAGACGTATATTAGCTTTAGAGGAGTAAAACAAGAAAAAAAAATCTGCCTCTGCCTTCCAGCATAATAATAATAATAATAATAATAATAATAATAATAATAATAATAATAATAATAATAATAAAATAAAATAATAATAATAATAATAATAATTTTATTTCTATACCGCCCTTCTCCCGAAGGACTCAGGGCGGTGTACAGCCTATTTAAAAACACAGACAAAACAATGATATAAAATTTTAAAATAATTAAATAAGTGGCTCAAATTTAAAACCCCAATAAATTTAAATACCCCAATTTAAAACTATTGTGTTGATAGTCCGGCCTGGCGGAACAACAGGTCTTCAATGCGCAGCGAAACACCCGGAGGTCGGAGATCTTGCGTATTTCCGGGGGCAGTTCATTCCACAGGGCTGGGGCTCCCACAGAGAAGGCCCTCCCCCTGGGCATCGCCAGCCGACATAACTTGGCTGATGGCACCCTGAGGAGTCCCTCTCTGTGGGAACGAACTGGTCGGTGGGAGGCTATTGGTGGCAGAAGACGGTCTCGGAGGTACCCGGGTCCTATGCCATGGAGCGCTTTAAAGGTGGTAACCAACACCTTGAATGGCACCCGGAAGACCACCGGGAGTCAGTGCAGCTCGCGCAGGAGGTGTCACATGGGCATAACGGGTTGCGCCCATAACCACCCGCGCGGCCGCATTCTGGACCAGCTGGAGCCTCCGAGTGCTCTTCAAGGGGAGCCCCATGTAGAGAGCATTACAATAGTCCAACCGGGAGGTGACAAGGGCATGAGTGACCGTGCACAAGGCGTCCCGGTCCAGAAAGGGCTGCAACTGGCGAATCAGGCGAACCTGATAAAAGGCCCCCCTGGCCACGGCCATCATGTGCTCTTCTAAAGACAGCCGTGCGTCCAGGAGGACACCCAGATTGCGAGCCCTCTCTGTGGGGGGCAAAGATTCACCCCCAATAGTCAGCGATGGAACCTGCTGACTATATCGGGGCGCCGGAAGCCACAGCCACTCGGTCTTGGAGGGGTTGAGTCTGAGCCTGTTCCTCCCCATCCAGACCCGCACGGCCTCCAGGCAGCGGGACATCACATCAAGGGCATCGTTGGGGTGGTCTGGGGTGGAGATGTACAGCTGAGTATCGTCAGCGTACAGATGACACTTCACCCCAAAACCACGGATGATCTCACCCAGCGGCTTCACATAAATGTTGAACAGGAGGGGCGAGAGGACCGACCCTTGCGGCACTCCCCATGCGAGACGCCTCGAGGTCGACCTCTGCCCCCGCCAACACGAACTGCGAGTGGTCGGAGAGGAAGGAGGAGAACCACCACAAAACGGTGCCCCCTATTCCTAACCCCCTCAACCGCTGCAGCATGATACCATGGTCGATGGTATCAAAAGCCGCTGAGAGATCTAATAGGACTAAGGACAGAGGAACAACCCCTGTCCCGAGCCCTCCAGAGATCATCCACCAACGCGACCAATGCCGTTTCTGTGCTGTACCCCCGCCTGAAGCCCGACTGGTACGGGTCTAGATAGATAGCTTCATCCAGGTGCCGGGGAAGTTGTCGTGCCACCACGCTCTCAACAACCTTCGCCACAAACGAAGGTTGGAGACTGGACGATAGTTGGCTAATTCAGCCGGGTCCAGGGAAGGCTTCTTGAGGAGGGGCCTCACTACTGCCTCTTTCAAGGCAGCAGGAAAGGCACCCTCATCCAGAGAAGCACCTATAATCCCCTGGAGCCAGCCTCGTGTAACCTCCCGGGAGGCCAGTACCAACCAGGAGGGACACGGGTCCAATAAACACGTGGCGGCACTAATCTTACCCAGGACCCTGTCCACATCCTCGGGAGTCACAGGAGCAAACTCCTCCCAGATAACATTCTCAAGACCTGCCCCGGTCTCCTCCCGTGGACTCATCCAATCGGAGTCCAAGCCATCCCGAATCCGAGCGACTTTATCGCGCAGGAATTGCACAAAATCCTCAGCACGACCCTGCAAGGGATCTTCCCGCACTCCCCCCCGAAGAAGGGAGTGGGTCACCCTAAACAGGGCGGCTGGGCGGTTCTCTGCAGATGCGATAAGAGCGGAAAAATGGTTAGATTTTGCCGCTTTTATCGCCACTAGGTAGGTCTTGATATAAGATCTCACCTGTGTCCGGTCGGAATCGGATTGACTAGTCCTCCAAATGCTCTCTAGGCGTCTTTTCCGACGCTTCATCTCTCTCAGCTCCTCAGAGAACCAAGGAGCTAATTGAGATCGGCATCGGGTCAGAGGCCGCAAAGGCACGACGCGGTCCAAAGCTCCAGCGGCCGCCCTTTCCCAGGCGGCCACCAGCTCTTCAGTCGAGTCGTGTGTTAGAGTCTCAGGAAACGGCCCAAGCTCCGTCAGGAACCTTTCGGGATCCATCAGGCGCCTGGGACGGAACCATCTGGTCGGTTCCGTCTCCCTGCGGTGGGGGCAGACGGTAGGAAAGTCTAGTTGAAGGAGTGAATGATCTGTCCATGACAAGGGTTTAATATCTAGGTCCCCTCTACCAAGATCATTCAACCACTGACCAGAGATAAAAATCAGGTCCAGAGTGTGTCCCCCTATGTGAGTGGGGCCTTGAACTAACTGGGTCAGGTCCAAGGCCGTCATGGAAGCCATGAACTCCCGAGCCACCTCTGACGCCTCACCTGCGGATGGGAGGTTGAAATCCCCCATGACAATAAGTCTGGGGGTATCGACCGCTACCCCGGCAATGACGTCGAGTAGCTCGGGCAGGGTCGCTGCCACGTGGCAGGGAGCCAGGTACGTAGTCAGCAAACCCATCTGCACCGCACGGCCCCACTTCACACAAAGGGACTCACATCCGGCTATCTGAGGAACAGTGGTCTCCCTCGGACAAAGACTCTCCCTAATGATCACCGCCACTCCCCCACCCCTCCCCTGGGCCCTTGGCTGATGAAATGCACGGAAACCTGGCGGGCACATCTCTACGAGGCGGACCCCCCCCCTTGGCCCAACCAGGTCTCCATAATACCTGCCCTGTATTCATCCGGCTAGTGTTCTTGCAGCAAACAGCCTGGTCAGCTTCAGAACGTTATCGCAGCCGCAGCACGTGGCTCGTCAGGGCTCCACTCCATTGCGCCCACCACCGTCAACTGAGCTGAGCTGCTGCCGCTGCCAGGGAACACTGAACCCTTTGCTATTGAGCAGCTGATTGGTGGTTGGATTGGTTTCCTGGAATACTGCCGATCAGCTGTTCTAGGCGGCGGGGATTGCTGCCACCTATCA